CCCCCCCCCCCCCCCCCCCCCCCACACACACACACACACACACACACACACACACACACACACACACACACTTCAGCAGAGGACACAAGTCACTGATAATGGTTCAGTGGTGTATATAGCCATGGCAATGTCTCCTAATGGCCAGTAGGCCGCAGAGAGGCCAACTGCAAAAGATTGAGTGCATGTATTCATCATTGAATGTGTACTACATGTTGTGTCAAAGAGATGAAAACAAGACGTAAATAACTTATGGGGGGAAAAGATTGAAAACAAAACCAAAAAAAACAAAAACATATCGCACGTTTTCTGCTTTTCTACCGATTAAATGTGCACCCGAATATTCAAAGTTAGGATGCAACACCATGAGAACGGTTTAAGAGCGAAGGCATACTCTTAAATCAGGATGTGAGTGACATCTCGCATGTAGCGAAAGAGAAAAGTGCGATGTAATATCCAACATCACATCTAAATAATACAAGGGGAATTTCTATGAAAAAGGGGGATTCAAAGACTCATACACACTATGGCATTCACCTCTATGCCCTATTACTATAGTCAGACATTAAGTGAGAGGTAGCCTACAGTACCTTGTGCACTGAAAAATTTAGAAAACTGTACATCAATTTACACATGGCAGGCTAATCTTTCACATTACTCACACATGCTGCACACACAATTACTCAAGCACACGTGAATCAGGGCAAGGGAAGTTTACACTAACAGCAGCAATATTACCCGCGGCCGCAGGTTTCTCTAGATTGAAAGCCAGGGTTTCCGACAAGATGTTTGCGTTACGTTATTATAAGGGATGTCATCAAACAACAGAAGCTATCAGAAGTGAACTGCAATGGTGTTCCAAATACCACAACAAAAACACATCCCTCCAGCTGGCTTTTCTTGATCAACCACTGGTGAAGACTCAGTGGCCCAACACAACAGTATTACCAAGCCGACCATGAAACGTGGCTTGTTGCACTGTATTCGCTCAGTTTACAAAACAGGGTCTATTAGCCTTTTTTTTTTTTTTTTCCTTTTTTCCTTTTCCTCGTTTTTTTTTGTAAATATCGTGGTTATGGGCCCTTCATTACATGCTGAATCCTAAATCAGTGGCCCCTGGCCACTTGTTGCTTAGATGACCTGGATATCATTAGTTATTTCTACAGTATTAAAATCTGTTAAAAAAGTCAACACTTATTAAACCTAAAAAGACAAACACGCCGATCCTCTCTCCTACACTGCTTTCAGTAGACACACAGTAGACAGCGCGCAGTGATAAGTTGTTCAAGGTCCAATTTTACCACTCAAACCACAGTATAATTTCACAGCACATAGTCCACGTGAGGAGGCATTAGGGTAAGTTTGGTTATGGCAGCTTCTGCTGATGAAGATGACGGTGAAGGGTTAGGTGAAAAGCAGCAAGAAAGTGGAAGTTTGGGTCCTGATTTCACAAAGTATCAATAAGAGTACGCGTTGGCGATGATATCTGAGCTTGCATATCATGTGTGCCAACGTGCCAGGCTTATACAAGTACATCAGGTGCTTAACCCCGCACTGCCCAGGTATGATGGCTTTTGTTTTTTTTATGCCGTTAGCACAAGGGTCATGTAAAGTTAAACATCACAAGATCTGTTGAATACAACATTTTTGTATTCATCAAACTGTAAATTTAATTACAAAATATGAGGTTGCCCACACGACCAGTAGAGAACAGGTTGATCAGGTGGACAGATAAAGATCCCTTATTACCTACTAAATCCTGTTAACTATGGAGGATAGAGCACAAGAGAGACACGTCGTGTGCAAGGGGATCAAACTGATTATTAGCCATGAGGCATATTGTAAGTATTTTATACATTTAAAACTGGTGTACACCCGTCTCCTTTTATCTGCATTGCCATTACGGTTTCCTTTTAAATTGGGTAATGATGTCATGTGCACTCAAAAAAACGTATATGAACTTCCTTGCGGCTCTCAATACATCTAAATCGTGCTTAAATGTACAAAATACTCATATTTTTTAGTAACTTTATGATTATAGGCCCCTATGCCACAATAGGTAACCTGACAAGTGTCTGAGCAGGCACAGAGACAACCGAATCATAGGATAAGAACTGCTGCGGTTGTGAATGCTGTGTATCAAAACTGCATTTATTTTCTTTATATTCAATTTAAATTCCTAAAATTTCCTACATAAGAACACACAAAATGCCACTAACCGGTCAGCAGTATGAGCCTCATATCACAGATAATTGGTGTTTAACAATGCATTCATTAGCCCCCACAGCACTCGGCATTAACACATCTGGATGAGTAAATGCATCACATGGCAACGAAAAGACCATGTGGATCTGAGTAGCACATATTTATGAGGGCTGGGTATCGCCACTAGTTTCCCAAATTGATTGGATTCCGATTCACACGGTCAAAATTTGATTCCATATGGATCCGGTTCGGGATTATTTCAGTTACAATACCAATGTGTAGCTTTGATATGAAAGAGATTTCGAAAGATCAAATGTATCATTAAAAATATTAAAAGGCAGGGTTGGCAATCTTAAGAAACTAGCAAGAGTACGCAAGATTTAAGAAAGTGATCGAACCTAAAAACCCAGCCCAGTGTTGCCAACTCTCTTTCAACTAAAGTAGAGCAGCTAGCTACAAGTTGCTGAGCTTTGAAGCTCGCAGCTTGTTGTGTAACAACCAGTCACTACATTCAGGGCCGAATTAAATGATCGGACGTGCTTGTTACAGTCCTGCGACAGCGACTGATGCCGGATCTTTTTCTTTTCTGTCAAAGCATTTTGATTCAATGATTGCCGTCAGGACGTAATGAAAATTTAAACAAAAATATCAAAAACGCTTTTAAAAGATTATCAACGCTGCCTTTAATGTTTACATTAAGAATTTAGCTGTTCTTGTGTGTGTGTTAAATATTTGCAGGATCCTTCCAGATTAATGAACAGTTTTCCTCTTCCCTACTCTTGAGCATTCTGCTGATGGTTTCTGGTGATCATATCTGTGCATCCCAGGTGCAATCACACTTGGCTTTTCTGCTCACCCACGATGTGTATTGATGTCAGGTGGTGTAGGGGGGGCGTTTTCCTCTGAGCTGTTCTATCTTTGTTGTTCTCTCCGTACAGTGACGTGAACCTCGCCTCATACACAGAAATGGATATCCTCCCCCTCCAAATTCATACTGAACAAAACAAGCTTTAGGATGTCCCCTCAACGTCCGGCTACACTGGAGGCCTTACACCGCCTGAGACAAATCGTAATGGATAGGTCTCTACACTGACAAGTCGTGTCTTTTGAGTGAAATCTTGCAAAGCCATTTATCTCTCACACCGTTAAAGAACATGGCATTTAGCTCTCAGCGATTCCTTTCCATCTATTTAGAATTGGTTTCCACTAACTACAGTCAGTCACAGGCATCAAAACCCTCACTGAGTCTCCATTCTCTCTCTCTCCCGTGCACTTAATGTGAATTTCTATTACCGAATGCTAGCTGCACAGGAGGTCATCCAGGCCAAGAGAGGGCATTTTATCAAAGTCACAGGCGTCAAACAAGTCGCTGATTCCCTGGTCGTCTGCCAAACCTAAAAGGTAGTCATCTTGGTCCAGTAGAGGAGGCCCAAGGTTTAAGAAAGGCCCCAGGGCTGAAGGGATCTGGTCTTCCGTCTGCTGGAGAAGACTAGTGTAAGGGGACGAGATCGGGGAGAGAGTGGTGACGGAGACGGCTGAGGAAGAAGAAGGTGGAGCCAGGGCGGGGATGGCAGAAGTGGACGAGCAAGTGGGACCTGTGAAAGAAAAGGGAATCAACTTGTTATTATCTCTGCATAGCCAAGGAACCGTAACAAGACCTTGTAGGCCAAAAGAGTAGCCAAGTTGACCAGTTTTATAGTGTTTGTTGCACTGGGGAGTACCAGTGATTGAGGGCTAGCAGCGGATCATAAAACTCACGTTTCGGATCACTTTTTTTGCTTTGTTTTGTTCCAGCAGCTGGTCTACAACGCTACGGACTATTGTTTATTTTATTGATTGAAATAAGTAGTTTAAATGATGTATTATAAGCTGCTTAGAGCTTGTGTTAACAGGTCATTATTCTCTAATATCTAGTTTATATTGCTGTGAAAACTTCACATAACTGGGTTGATTTGGCGTGGAAATGTGGTTTCTCAACAAAACTACATTTTACAAGATTACATTTGAACATATCACGAGAACTTCATCATTTATCTTTGTCTAATACTCATTTTCACTGAAGACAGCCTGAAAGCATTATTATGTAACTGAATTGAACCTCGGTAAGTCAGCCGTTTGTGGTACTGCTTCCGTTATTAGCTCTACTCCTGTCAACCATAACACAGATTTGTTCTTCGCAATGTAACATTATCCGGGATCGGCGAATAGAACGCATGAATGCCGATCTCCTGATCGCACATTTTTACTGAATATTGACCGATCACGGTCGTCAGTAAAATAGTATTTTACACTACGATGGTAAAACTGTGTAATTAAGCCAAGATTGTGGTTTCAATCACTCCAGCTTTGTTATGCTAGCCTTTGCCAGCCTGGAGAAGTGTTCTGACGTTGTCGACATCTTTGTTTGTACCTTTACAGCCACAGCATTGCCAAAGCCAATCAGTAATTCAATGTGGTACAATCCCCAGACTTTTAATCTCGCACCAGTTACATTTTTTTCTCATGTCCAAAGTGATGTTGTGCATGACAAGATGCAGTACAACATAAACTAAGTACCAAATTTGTCAAATCAGTCTCAGTACTTTGGGCTAAATGTTAATATGCCAGTCTATATACAGTCAACACTGCATGTCTTAAAGCACCCTGTGTTGAACATAGAAAGCAAAGTGGAAGTAGCAGAAGACTACTCCACAAGTTACATATAAAGGTCAGCCTTGTTTCTTTATCCTTAATGTCAATCAATTCATTTTGCACACCCCCGCCTATCGAGACAAACCTTGAAGGACTTTGAGGAAAGGTGAGTTCCCATTGATGTCCATGCTGCCGTCTTTTACAGGACTCCTGGGGTCATTCTCCTCATCTGGACACAGCAGGACTTCTATAGGACCCTTAGTGCTGGTCAGATGGATGGACAAACTCTGGAGAGGGAAAAGAAATAAAAAATAAAAACACAGACAGGACTGCACTTTATTAGAAAGACGGCGAGACTTAAAAACAAACAAATCTGCTTTCCATATGCCCTCAACCTGGAAATGCTCTACCAATATATATATAAACCAACGGTACTGGACACTATATATGTTATGTACAGTATATGTGTACCAAATAAACCGAGTAACTCCGTAAAAATGTAATAGTATCATTCGTACTAATATTTTTTCATGCAACGTCAGAAGTCAATTTCCCCAAAAGTCCAACTCTTCCCTCAAGGGAAAAGCAAGTAATAGGTCAGCTGACAAGTGAGCAAGAAGCAGAAGTTTCCTCTCGACAGCCATGGCAGCTCCAGCTTGTGTGTTTTGCACGTGTGCACATACCTCATCAGGGTCTGGTACTTCTAGTTTGGTGTCTGTGGGCGCTTTGACGACAATAACAGTCTGGTCTCTGAGGTTTCCGAACTGTTTGATGTCTTGGTACGTTACATAGGCATATGTGGAGACGACAGGGTTAAGGAAATAACACAACATTGTCAGTACATGTCAATACGAAACATACATGTATGTGCAAGCCGGAAAATGCTCACTATAGGATCACAAACCTCCAAACTGCTTAAGTGATTCCTGTGCCATGCATTACCTGGTGTTTTCATCGAGATGAGTTACTTAACATTTTATGCACCATAATGTAAAAAACATCTGCTTTATGTGACATATGCGCTACAGATAAGACGGTCAGAATGGTTGTTTTCCAAAGACAGAGTTGGAAGATGAAGCCTTGCACATCGGCTTAAGATCTGGTATATTTTTAACTGATTCAGCTATTCCTAAAATACCAAAATCCCAATGGTACCACCATGGTCCCACTGTGAGACAGGAATAAACAATGTGTACAGACAATTTACACCGCCATCAATTTGGCAAAGAGATATGAGAACATAGTTACAGGACGTTTTAACACATGACGCGTCAGCCAACAACAAAAGGATATTTCTGATTGCTTTGCAACTCGCTCACGTGTCTCATGTCCAAGCTGCATCTCTGGATGAGTTGTTCAAGCCTCTGCTCTTCTTCCCCCAGTGCAGAAACTTCTGCTGTTAGTCTCTGTCTCTGGTTCAGGGCCCCCTCTACCTCCAACAGACTACAGCCCCTGTGTGAGAGAGAGAGAGAGAGAGAGAGAGAGAGAGAGAGAGAGAGAGAGAGAATCAAAACAGATTTAGTTCTGGCTCAAGAGCTTCACAAGCCCCTATATTAATGAATCTTATTCATGGTTTTAAAATATTTGGTAAAAAAAAAAAAGAACGAAACTAAAATACACAGTTCAATGCTTTCTCACTGTCATTCGATACAAGATTAACGCAGCAGTTTGTCTGTGGTTATTTACAAGTTAAGTGACTGATATGGATTGAATTCATTTCAGCTAAACTTAGGCCAACCACATCATATTCAAGAGGGTCCACACCGGGCCTTAACTAAAAGAGCAGAGTTAGATTACATCAGAGCGGTGCAATGGATCACAAAATGTATCGGTCACATCCTATCACTGTTTTGAGACACAAATCTAATCAACAGGGAACAAAAGGAGAAGCCCTGATCATGTTTTTCGTCAATTCTGTTACCAAACCTTTCGGAAAATGCTTCTTATTCATTAAATACAAATACAAACAACAATACAGTAGAATAACCTTAACAATGAACGCCATTAATTAAACCGAAAGACACGTGTCGCAGCGCTGTGCCGTCCATCCGAGCTGAGAACAGAGAAGTGTCCGGCTGAGTCTTTCCCGAGTCACGGCATTGAGACGAGCCAGAGCCGCTGTTGCTCGTGTCAGAGCACAACCCATGGGGCATTCGGGCCAAAAGGGCTGAGCCGAAGCCTCAGCAGGCCGCACTACATAGGCGTAAAAAATAAGACTCGTGGACTCACAATGAAACAATCCGAGTGTTTTTGCATTAATGAGTCGGTGCTGCCAACTACCGAGAGGTCAAAGCGCTCCCTCGGACACAGCTGTTAGCTCCGGTGCTGCCAACAATACCAGCTCCTTCCTGACGATTTCTAACGCGGATTTGTTGTTCATGACTCCTTAAAAATATGAACACCAAGTATTTGAGTGATAGAGTGGCAGAGTGAGCACTTACATCCACTGAATGTTGTTCTTTGATTTCTTCTTGATGAGGTGAATGCCTTCTAGCACATTGGTGATATCATACAGCCGCCTCTTCTGTACCTGAATGTAGAGGACACAGGTCTCATCAACTGTGTAAATTACCAATCACAGCAAAAAAACAATCCCTAACACAAACATCCAAAACTTTTTCAATGCCTTTTCTTATCCCTCCCTTTTCATTTTTAGGATCCGCGCTTAGAATCGTTTCAGCAGCATCGCTAAAAAGATTTACATACAAGGTTTTCTTTCTTTTTCTTAGTGTCTGATGAGCCTTTTTCTGTTTGGGTCTGAAATTACCTGTAAGGTTTCAGCGGCGAGGTTCAGGTCCAAGACACCATCGGAAGACTGAGCAAGAAGGTCCACAAACTTCTTTGTCAACAAGCCGAGGGAGGTGTCGTACCGAGTCTTCTCTGGGGGAGACTTGGGTGCTACGGTAGAGGAAGAGTAGTAGGAAACGAGAAATGAAAATGACAATGTGTTTTTATTATCTGACTTGACGTTGAATATTTGCAGGGAAAGTCAAACATTAAACATCCTAGCAACAGTTAAACTCGGTAGGACAAAGCCCAAGTAAATTGTGCGTTTGTCTATTATTTGAAAAAGTAAAGTCGCTCACGAGACTTCAAAAGGCAGCAGTAGAAAAGTGTAGTCAGTTTGGGGAAACTGGTGCGTTTTGTACTGGACAACATCATTGATTTAATTTAAGCGCCAATGCAATGATGGCAAAACTGAGTCAGTCAGGATATGCTGGAGGGAAAGGACTCAATCAGTCAGAATCAATGACATTTTCATGAAGAGGGAATCACAAACTCTACAGGCCATGAAACTAGTTGAAGTTCACCTGAACTTGAATCAATCACCAGCTGGAAGCATCTACGTAAGGCTCCGAGTTAGATGTTTGCCAGCTGGACTTGTATGTCAATTTCAATGGCTCTGTGTTGATAGCATCGGTTCCACTCATCAGAGGGTGACATCACGTCATCTCTCTCAAACCTCCAACACATCCTGTGGCTGGAACCAACAAGATAGCACACTGCTGCAGTGGCCGTATATCGTGAAAACAACAACTGAGGTACACAGTTTGTTTCTTTTCAAGTTTCAATTATATTCAAGTCCAGTACGTACACATGCAGGGACTAAACTGAAAATAATGAGACGGTATCTTACTGTATTTTTGAGTGATTTTGTTTAACCGTTGATGAGAATGTCATCAGAATGAGCATCAAGTGTCCGATGTATCGAACACAACTGTATGAACCAGCTGAATAGAGGCTGTTCCTGTATTAAACTTGGTGTGGACCGCCTCTCGCACAGAAGGACGCTGTATCATTGTGCTGTCAAATTCTAGGTAACATGCGGAAGCTGGCGGAGGGCTCCTTACTTCTGGGGGTCTTTAGCCGTGCCCCATTGGCCACCGCGGTCGCTCCTCTGCCTCTTGGAGTCCTGGTTGGTTCTGACTGGTACTGGTGGTCCGAGTCATCGAGCGCCAACCTCCTTTTTGCCTGGGGGGGGACAAAAATACGACGGTTATTTGGCAGGCATCTCATCTTTGAAGCCACCAGAGATTAAGTGTGATGCTAAATGCATCATTACTTTTATCTTTTGTCTCCAGCATCAGAGTTCTCAACCATTTAAAATGTTAAATGAAAAAGTTTATACATTGATAAAGACCGTGCACATGGTACAGAAATTACAGTGTTAAGATTCCTTTTGGTCATTGAATGTAAGAGGTCATCATTCATCTTCTGTCTTTTCCATTTTAGTTTTGACAGTCGGCTTTTCTTTTATTATTTTGGAGGTGGAGCAGTCAAACCTGTCATGAAATAGTCATGAAACAGTTCAAAAGACAAGATGTTTTATCGTCAAGATTCCAGCATTACGTGTTTAAACTGCTGGTCTTATGTTGCGCAAATCCAGTGTTTGTGATTTCTTCTTTTCTCAACGCATTGGCCAAGACAAACCCACATAGCTGAAGAGTGAGTCACACCAATGGGTTTGATCACATTGCTGCACAGTAATGCCAGAGAAAGACACTACTAGTATACTTACAGACCAGATAGCCCCATAAATGAACCCAGGAGGGGGTTGGGAACCCAGGAGATCCCAACCCACTGTTCCAAGAATTTAAAAAAATCAATCAGTTTCCTGTAGACTTTCGACAGAATATTCAAATCCAAATTTGAATGGCCTTCCCGAACAGTTTTGGGAGAATATGGTCTATTTGGATATGATCCAGCCTTTCCACCCCCTATGTTCACATTCATCTTCACTCCGAAGTTACAGGTTGCCAATGTCCAACCTGTCAGTCAATTTATTATATTGTAGTGCTGGTGTAGCTTGACAAAGGTGAGGTAGGTTCACCATATATGGCTTCAGCAGTAGTGGGCACCTTAAATGTCGGCCTCATCAACACTGTCGTGCTGGACACCATGTTTAAGAGCATTTAAGCTCCGTGTTCAAAACCCCAGGTCATTTAAAACAGTAAGAGTTGATTTGCCGAAGCCTAATAACCAACTCTGAAATACATTTGCTGTTTCGTCAGTGAAAAACTGAACACTTCCCCTTTCAGTAGCCTAAATTGGCATTTTAGTCATAACTTAAACCTGGATTGTGGATTAGTGAATAGTCTCCTCAACCACAGGACCTTTGTAACTTCTGTGTTGGCGAGAATCCATCCTGTTTTAGTGTCTGAGCAACACACCAGTACCAGGGTGCTGGTGTAGTGCATTTCCCTCCAAGTCCCACGTAGACAGGTTAAGTCAATTCAACACTCACTAAATTACATATTTCAAGCATAGTGAACCCCACAATTAATACTTTCTTGCTTAATCAAGCCCCAAGTCTGAGAAAGAATAATATGCCCTCTGTTGACAGTCAAAATGTCAGCCATTTTATATCAGCAAGCAGCTCCCCTCACCCCCTGCCTGGTCATGGCTACAGCCTGAGATACAGAGAATGGTTTAGTTCATGACAGATAAACAGCCATGAACGAACCAACACCCTGAGTGCTGCTGAAAACTATTTAGTGTGGTCTGTGCATGCTGAGAACACAGGAAACGTGCAATCAGTTCTACAGCAACAAACTCCAGTTTCACTTTACTTGGCATAACGTTGCACTTTATTAACAGAGAGAGAGGACATTAAAAACACAAAATTAGGATAAAGGCCGCCAACGAGTAACGTTGTCCCCAATCAACACTGCTAACGTTACTAGCCTTGAAAGCTAACACATTTTCAAGCTTCATCCAAGTTGGCTCGCATCTTCAGAAACGACTGAGAAATATCTGTCGAGTAGTTTCACAAGTGAAGTGAAGCTTTAGCTACGTATAACCCCCATGTAGTCGCGTGTTTAGCCACTCGTGTCTGTTAGAAAGCTGAAAAAAAAATTAGGTAACTAAGAGCCAAGCAGCTCCACAATACCCCCTCACCCACCCCCAAATTAGGGCACCAGCAGCAGCCACTAGGCCACCGCTAACGTTACTCATCTCTTACCAATATTTCCATCTGGCTGCAAGGGTGAAGCGAACTCAAAACCACCATGAAGTTAGCATAGCACGCTATTGGATGACATGTCTAGGTTTCTGCAAAAGCAAAACTAACTTAAACTCGACGTGTGCCTCCTCACAGTCAGCATACCACCCAACCAACCCACTTGAGTAACTTAGCTAGCGGTAGTTAGTTAGCCACCTCGCTAGGTTGAGGGAATGCCCTGGCTAAGCAGCTAACGTTAGCTGCCCGAACAACAAGCTCGGCTAGCCTAGCAAGCTAACATTTAGTCGGGTCTGTGGCTAGTTGTAGCAAGCCAAACATATTGAAACGAGCTGTGTAGATTATTACCGGCGGTCTCCCCAGAGTGGGTCGTTGTCCGGCTCCGTTTGCTGCAGCTTGTTGTGGAGTTGTGTAAATGTTGTTTATCTGAGGTTCAGACAAACACACATTTGATGTCTGTGTAAGGTTGCAAGGCGGTGGGGTGGTTATTATTTGGATATACGTAGCGTTGGCTTGACCGGGGTTTAAACGATCCGTGAGAGTTGTTAAAATGATATTATTGTCCAGAGGAGAGCCCCCAACCCCCGCTAAAATCACTTTGTCCGGAGCCGAGGAGATCCCTCTTCTCATCTTGCGTATTCGGTGTAACCCCTTTCTTGTCTCTGTACTTTCAAGCCCGTATGTCTGCTAATCCGCCGCAATAGTCACAAAAATAATCAGACCGAAGTAAAGATGACAGTCTGATGCATCGACTTTTGTAAAGTATTTTTCCTTAAGGAAGTGCATTTAGGCAGATGCAACGGATTAAAAAGTAGCGCAACTCTCGTTTCCCCCGTCTAGAAATGGCTTCAGGAAACGGCCTGATGAATGAAGGGATACGGTTTACGCGCTCAAGAGCCCTCCCGCGAAACTCAGATTTCCCGGGAAATTTTCAAACAGAATCTACATACTTGGCGCTATTGGTCTTCCGGAGAGGAGTCCCCGCCCTTATTTCCAGCCATATTTGCCAATGACAGATCACGATTCGGTGCGCCACGTGCTCATTGGCAGTTGTAAACAGGCCGCGTCATCTGACGCGCCTTGCACGTTCCCTGACAGGACGCTAAGCGGCGCGAGTGACTGATTGCTGGAGAGAAACGTCCAGCCCTTGCATTTACGTTCGGCCCCCTTTTTAAGCTTGATTTTTCTGAGCCCTTGTATATCAGAATGACAAAATGATCTTTGGGCATTCAATGCTGACCTCCTTCTATACAAATGGTTGCTGTGATTGCAGATCAGTTGGTAAAACCAGTTGAGTGAAAAATAGAGTGATACTAACAACTTTAAAAATACAAAATATGGTTTAATTTGAATGTTAATATTTACGCGTCATGTTTTTTGCACAGCTCCTTTGGAACCATGTATGGCCTGTGTACTTAGTTTCCTGTGTCATTTCTTGCAGAGCATGTTTTTTTTAAAACATTTGAACTTTTTTTATGTTCTTCTTTGCGTCTGGTCAGTGCTTCTAATTTTGAATATCTGTTAAGTGCATTGATGAATCAAAGCAAATCTTACCTGTGCTGTGCGTGAGCATAATGCTAGAAATGAACTCACCAGAAGGGCAGTTTAGCCATTGTGTTTAAATCAAATATATGTTTTACATTGCAGGAGTAGGCCTGCAGTGACCTGGTCAAACTGTAGAGCAGACCCACAGAAGGCAAAATACATAAGCATCTGCATCTTCATCAACCAAAAGCTGAATATTTGCCAAAAATCCTAAGTTTGCTTAGATCATTATGTCTTTGCACACCTCCACATATTTGAAAGCTTCCCAAAGTTATCCTACAAGTGACATAATATATCACGATATAAAACCCATCAGTTGCATACAGTTGGTCTATTTAGGCCCATGGTCTAAATGCTAATGTATCCTCCTTACAAATAAAGGTTTACATTCAATGGTGGAATGTAGGCCTAACAAAGTGCATTTAGTCAAGTACTGTAAATTGGAAATCCTTAAGATGTCAGTCCTGGTTGATTAAGAATTTCTATTTGAGTGAAAACAAAAAGATTGTGCTCAGAGCTTAGCGGTCTGGAGTCTTGGGAGTCTTCTGAATTCCATACTAACATGCTATTTTTCAGAATTGCGCATATAGTTCAATTTGTGTACGTGAATTCAATGTAAAAAACAGCAATACAGTATTTTTCTCCAAAATTGCCATTACAGACGACCAGTTCGTAAAGCTAAAAATATATTAAAAATTGATAAATACTTTTATCAGTAGGCCAGAGGTTCAATCCCCATTGTTACCTCCCTCTGCGATACATAGTGATTTAATTTATTTCTTCAAGTACAATTCTGATGTATTTATACTTTACTTGAGTGTTTCTATTATACTTTATACTTCCCCTCTACCGAATTTCAGAAGGAAATATCATACCTTTTATGTCATCACATTTATTTGACAGTTTTGTAGTTAATATTGTACATACAAAATATGTGATAACTTTGAAAAATATGTTTTTAACTTTGCAACAGTATTGCTTAACATAATAACCACAACATGACAATGCTGTGTACATAAATGCATATATTAGGCTAATATAACAGGTTCAAAATAATAATAATAATAATAATGAAACATAGGCTATACAAACTGGAAGGGCAGGAGACATTCTGCGTAACAAGTTATTTTACTTTTGATGCTAGTAATACCACTTGGCATATTGCATATCATAGTAACCCACATGATCAATATCAGAATGTACTGTATACCCTGTAAATACTGTAGATTAAGATTATTTCTGTTGGTATTATGACATACAGATTGAAGAGACATCCCTTCAGCTTGAGGATGCTTTAGCTCCAACATGGACCTTCAACCTGAAAGACTTTAAAAGGTACTTCATCTCTCTCAGGCTGTTATTGTGTCCTCACCTCACCCAACACGTTCTCACCACTGAGTGGTGGTACAAGAGTGGACACTCACAGGAATCTATTAAATATCACATGAATTGTTTAATGTTAGGAAAGTCTAACATTCTAAGCTGAATTCTTAGCCAGTGACTCACTTTGAATATCATCCTTGGACTCACACTGTGTCAAACAAGTGATCATCTTTCCAGACTAAATCTGACATTTGGGCCTTAATTATGACAAGGAGAAAGAACAGCACAATAATTAACAAATGTCGATTCCCATATGTCTCTCAGCCCTGCAAGTCATGCCACGGTCTCTCAGGAAAGAGCATTGAGTTCTTTCCCAGATGGCGTTTCTTCACACACTCTGCAACACACTTACCAAGCAGGAGGCATTTTGATCTGTTTAATGACTCATTTTTTGTCACCATGGGCCCTGATAAAAAAAACTAAATCAGGACCGGGGTGAAAGCCAGTGGTCCCACTTTGTCATCGGGTTTTCCGCAAAGTTTGAAAGAGAGCCCAAATAACACCGGAAGTAACATGAAATGGCTTTCATATGTTTTTTTTTGTATCTGTCCCAGTTAAACGTTCTATACACTCGCAAGTTTCTCCTCAACAATTATCTTGATTCTCGATGCAGTTTATTTGTTTTTCACATACAAGCACAAGATACACTGCCACTTTTGAAAGCGAGGTATATGTACCCAAAATCTAAATTTGTGTGAGAATGATTGCAGGCCAAACACGGTGGAAGGCCTGTGAGTATATTGTGGGCAAAAACAAAGTCCGCAGAACAGGTTTCTCCTTACATACTGTACACAATACCATAACTGGCTATCTTGTTAGTACAATACTATAAGACCTAATTTAGCGCCTTCGTCTTTTACTTTTGAAAGCAGTAACCGGAAATGCAATGTATTTTCTTTCTGTCGTTGCCTGACTTGACTGGTCCTGAGTCTGAGGAGCGCAGAGGAGGAGCGCGAGCCGGGAGCGCCATGCCTGTTCTGTCATTCCGTATAGTGCCTGGAGTTGTCACGAATATTTCCGGCAAACAATGTATCGCTGTCACAGAAATAAGTAAGTAGTCAGTTTAATAATAAAACAAGGAAAAAGTCAACACTCAGAGGAAACCATACGTAGGATGGGCGAACGGGAGGAATTTGCGTTTGACGTTAAAACCACTGGATCCAAGTGGCTGCTGCCTGTCAGTGAATACTTGGGCTTTCCTCTTGATCAGGTAGGAGTACTTTATCTGTCCATTGTCAGGTGATAAAAAGCAGATATTGTGTTGAATATTTGTTTAGCATGTGTAAACACTCCTCATCTCCATCTCTCCCACACAGGTGAATTTCTTGGCGTGCCAGCTGTTTGCCCTGGCTGCTGCCTTCTGGTTCCGTCTCTACCTCAGTCCTAGCCATGCCAATCCCCTGGTCCGGCACGCTGTGGCCGCTCTCCTTGGCATCGTCTTTCTCATCTTCTGCTTTGGATGGTACTGTACTGTACTGTACTGTACTGTACTGTCAGAGATCAGCTCACACGGCACTTCATCCAATTTCTCTCATACAATGCTGCACATTGTCATTTTCTCTTCACTGAGTCAGTAACATGCCTTGATTATCAATATGTTGAAATGTTTGTGTTTGATCATGAGTAAGAGATTTCAGGGGAAAGGTATCTAGAAAAACATTGCTATTCAAATAATAGCAATGATGCACATTTTTCAGATTGCGTTTGTCCTTGTCTGCAGGTACTCAGCCCACATCCTGACAGTGGTGCTTGCAAGCTACTTGATCATCATCAAAGCTGACATCAACAATGTACACAGGTTAGTGTTGGTTTTTATACTTTATAAGGGAAACCCACACAAAAGTCGTGCATAAAGTTAAGTTATGGAGACAAAATGTTGGATTATAAAAGGCATCATGAAATGTGGTGGAATTTGTGACACGTAAACATATCAAATAGGTGGAATTAAGTCAAACTGCTAGGTTGCCTGGTTGGTTTGGTTATGGACAAACATAAATCTGTTCTGATTTAAAGAAGTTCTTTTCCTCTAGAGACCCAACTGACCTGCCTGTCTGTCATCGTGCTGACAGGCGGATGACAGAGCGGCTACACCTCATTTCTAAGATACAGTTGCATTCCTACTTGCTGTTGTCTTCAAGGAAAACTTGTCAGACAAGATCAGCCTGGAAACTATTTACATCATAGGAGTGTGTTTGGTGGAGTAGGCAGATTGCTTCGTCTAGATAATGGTTACTGTGCTGATAACTGATATGTTGTGGTGACATTGTTTTTGACATTACATTTACTTTTGTAATTTACTCCCTCACACACATTCCAACACAGACGGCATTGCATCCCACCCTATTATCTTCCTGTTGTTGAGAGAAATTAATGTAAAACACGTCAGATAAAAGGCACCCAGACATGCCAGCTGGACAAGTTTGTTTGGAGACATCCGGACTGTGTGTGTGTGTGTGTGTGTGTGTGTGTGTGTGTGTGTGTGTGTGAATTTAAATGCATGTTTCTCTCTTTGCAGCCATGTAAAGACACACTAACTGATTATTAACTAAGAGGTGGCAGCCCTGCTTTGTAATATTTACACGTATTGCATATGTCCCCAGAACGTCCTAACTGTCCTTTGTCTGATTTAGTTTTGCTCATTCCTCCACACTCAGGTATTCCATGGTGACGGCTATGGGCTACTTGACAGCGTGCCAAGTGAGCAGAGCCTTCATCTATAACTATGGAGTTCTGTCCACGGACTTCTCTGGGTGAGGAAAAACCTAATCCCTCGGTTGTCCCGCCTCTTTTCTTCACTTCAGTTCTCCTGTTATCAATTAACGTTTTCCGAATGGTGTACCTGCTTGGCGCATTCGCCAGTGCCACAGCCTTGTGTAAATAAAACACCACTGATTAAGAAGCAGCAGTGTGGATTGTTCACCGTTCATAGTTGACATTGTTGGGCCAGGTGGAGTTAAGGTGCCTCCTGGCAACTGTGACTTTGTTGTTTTAGAAACAAGGCTGCTTCTAAAGCAGTGGGCAGGTAACTCTTTAGTGTGTTTCTCTTTATGTGAAGGGTTTATTTTCATTTCAACATTACATTTGGACTCTATAACAATCATAAAGAAGTGCTAAAAGGAGAACTTAGCAAAGCAGGAGAGGAGATTTCCTGTGACACAAGATGGGCGGGGACTCCTCTGTCATTCCTCATTATTTCAGAAATGAAAGATTGCATCATCAAAAATTACTTTTGAAATCGAAACTCTGCCCACGTGTATTAACTGCAACCATTGCACAATGATGGCATGTGCTTGCTTTGATGAAGAGGCCTCCCAGGTTTCACAAAAAAACATTTTTGTCCTGATACTGATACTGAGACGGTCCCTTTCCTTTTACTGGAATGGTTCCCAGATGAAGTAATATAGTTGTATGTGTGCGGTTGTTCTTTAAAAGCTGAGTGTTGAATTTGCTGGCTCCTGTATTCAGCAACTTTTCTGCCCGGTTCTGGTGTGGATGAATTTGCCGGCAGTCTCACTTGAAGTCTGCCTGACTTTGGCAATGATCAGCCAGGCCTGTGAGTCAGCCTCGGTTGGGTTCATATATTGAATAACAGCTCCAGCTTCTTTAAGCTTTCATATTGGACAGATGAATGGTTGTGAATCACAGATGGTGTCCATATGTGTAGCTACTTACACAGGATTGTGTGTAGTAATCCAGTGCCAAAGCTAATACTTCAAAATGTAAGGTTCTGTGACTCAGTGGGTTTCCTGTTTTTGCTAGCACAACACCATTCATTTAACTTGCTGGTTTCCACTGTTGTCCTCATTATATGATGTGTTTGTGCTGCTTTGAAGATGCCAATGTCTCTAAAGTCTGGTTGCTATTCTCCCATTTGTCATCGAGTATTTCCATAAGCTGTTTCTTTCTGAATTTGTACAAGGCAGCAGAACTGAAATTGAACAAGAAAAATCTTGTGCACGTTGCCAACTTTAGAGTCTATGTGGAAAAACAGAGTTGGTCAGGCTGCAGTGGTGGAGAGCTGCACATACTGGCTGGCACCCTGAAAATGTTTCTCTACAGCCAACTAGCTGGCACTGCCAGCCGCTCGGTCCCTCTCGGCCTCGGTTTTCCATGCTGTCCACACAATGCAGCCGACTCACACACAGCAACCAGTGTGTGTGTGTGTGTGTGTGTGTGTGTGAGACAGAGGTAGTTTATGTGTGCCTTTGTGCACACACACTCTCACATTCTTGGGACAGAGAGGTCTCTATCTGTGAATGAAACCAGGAGTAGGGGTGTGGAACTAACCGTAATGCCCTCCACCGTCGCATCACTTCCAGCACTATTTGGTATCCCTAAGTGGCTAACTTCCTGAAACCAAAACTTAAGCCACGTAAAGGAAACGTAGCCCGACCACGAGTTATTGTTCACATAATACAAGTCCTTGAGTGATTGATAGTGTCTGAAGAATCAATCTTAAAAGTGCAAGCAAATGATTACTGATTATTGAGTGTTTATCGCATTGCAAATATGTGTAAAAACCTACGGATTAATGAAATCTTCTTTCCAGCATTATTTTAGTTGTGTAAGCAACTTTAGAACACATCAGTTTCTTTGGATCACTGTGAACTTGACACCATCGCTGTCAGGCTGTCGGCCTACTGGTTTGTGACAGTTGAGAGATTTGAATGAATTGATACGTGACCCGACTTGACACTGGTGGAAACAATGCAGTGATTCACTAACCCTAATACATTCTGTGGCCTCAGCCAGATGCTCGGAAGGCATTTGCTTTGTTTCAAGTCAGTCATTTAAAAAAATGACCAAACATGCTGCTTCTGACTTTTAAAAACATTTTAAAACAGGTTGACTGTATCCTTTAGTGGATATATTTATTTGTTTTCACCTCAGAATCTCCACAAAGTCAGTGTCCAACAGTAGTTACCATTCATTCTCTTTCTGCACAGGCCTCTGATGATAGTAACCCAGAAGATAACCACACTGGCTTTCCAGCTCCATGACGGTAAGGCAGCGGAGGAGATGTAGGACAAGCCCAGGTGTTGCATTAACAATAACAACGGCTCTCTTCTATTCACTTGCAATGTCAACCATGATGACAGTGTGACAGTGAACCTGCATGCACAGTAACAGGACCCTGAAACTGAAGCAGCTAAATGGAATTCATCAATCATTCATTTTATTATTTGGTAAAAAAAAAAGTGGCAAAACGAACGTTTCCAGACAGGTTGTTGATGACATCATTCGCTGTTTTTCAGGTATGTGTAAGAAATCCGAACAACTGACCTCTGAGCAGAAGCCTCTGGCTGTTAAGTAAGTTTTTACTGTGCTAATTACTCACGTCTTTAATCTTTTTTTATACAGTGGTAATTCTATGTTGCAGTGTGAAACATCAGGGGATAGACTTTTTTTGGACACAAGTCGGAGCGCTGTGTCTTGTGAATAATGGCAATCTACTTTTTTTCCCCAACTGAATCTTGCTGATTTTCTTTTATATCTGACCTTTGAGGTGCACATAGTTTAGAATGTTGGGTTGATGTCCCTGTTAAAGTATGAATGCACAAAAGGTTGCGTCTGGATTAACACCGTATTTAAAGAATAAATAACTGTTTCTTTTCCTTTAGCCTCGAAGGACAATGACAAGGAGATGCAATCATGGTGATTAGCTTGTTCATGTAAAAAGCATGATGGGAACTTAGAAAAGAGGCATAATTTTGCATGAAAAATATGAAAATGTTATGCATGTGAATCGATTAAAACCACAGTCATCAGTGTACTACGCATGCCCTCTTAGAAGGAATCTGTAAAGAAAATGAAATACAATTTTAAAACATAGTGTTGCTCTTCTGGGATAACTATGCAGCTCTAAATTCAGTTGTCTCATGTTTGCTTACTTCACTGTGCTCCCTGTAGGTTTGGATATCACATTTATATAACATTTATTGATTCTGATTTTACTTTTCAATTCTGCTTGTGCTGTTATCATTAGATACAAACTTTGATGCATGCATAACCAGTGATGTAGACAATAGCTCAGGTCAAAACTTTTCATTTCGGCAGCAATAAGGTTTCTTTATGATTTCCTGGTTCTTCAGTCATTGGTACTCAACCCTAGTCCCTTAAAATGCTGCGGAACTGCTGTAATCTGTGAACTAAAGGAACCATATCATAAACGGATTAATAACATTTGGATTGTCTCGTGTGATGTTTTAAAAAGTCACTTTTTGTCATTCACAGAGTGTTTACTTTTATGTTAGGTTTCACCTACCAACCAACAATTCAGGCTTACAGAGCTTCACATGAATGGCATGCTTTTCTCATGTCTCCACCCAACTTGGATGAAAAAATAGCAATAACTCCGTTGCATTTCACACGAAGTGATCATTTTCATACTGAAAATAAAGGGGCTCTCTGTTTTGTTTCCTATTATTCACCCTACTCTTCTTTCTGCAGTGTGAGGCCTTCTCTCATCGAGTACCTGAGTTACAATCTGAACTTCCTGAGTGTCTTTGTGGGACCATGCAGTAACTACAAAGAATACATAGACTTCATAGAGGGCCGACACATCGGCAAGAGGCTTAGGCAGCACTTTGGGACGTGTAATGGCCAGAACGGCTATGATAAGACACCAGACCCATCACCTCTGGTAAAGTCATGAATACGTAGCTGGTTGCTTCCTCTTATGGTTTTACTTAACGACACAGCATAACCTGGGACTGTAGTAAAATCTGTCTAATCTCGATCGCAGTCTTCTCCTACTTTCATTTCTATATTCACTGAGACTTTTCGAGTCGTATCGGGTGTCTGATTCTGCTGCCGTCATTGTTTCTGTTTTTCGTGTGACTTAATTAATCAGTGGTCATCCTGTCCATTCGTAATCTGTGTTTCCATCGCTGCTCAGCAGTTATCTGTTTTCTCTGCAGAACGCTGTCTGTCGAAAATTGCTGGTGTGCAGCGGATGTATGCTGCTCTTCCTCACTGTGACTCGGTCTTTCCCGATAACGTACAACGTGGACCCCCATTTTGTCAGTCAAGCCCCCTTCCTCACAAGGCTCGCCTACGCCTTCTTCTCTATACAAGCAGCAAGGCCCAAATTCTACTTCGCCTGGACACTAGGTGAGCAGTGTGTGTGTGTTTTAGTTGTAGTTGGCCAGTTGTCAGGAGGGAAAATGATGAGCACATGAGCTACATATATCGTTAATGCCATGGAAGTCATGTGATTTAATTTTTTCTGTCCTGTCAGCTGATGCAGTCAACAACGCTGCAGGTTATGGTTTCTCGGGGTTGGATAAAAATGGAAAGCCATCTTGGGACCTCATCTGCAACCTCAACATCTTAGGGATTGAGGTATCCTCAATGTTTCATAGTTTTTTAAAACACAGAACAACTCTTTACTGTGTGAAGTTCCATGCGCGTACATGTTGGTCAAAGTTGGCATAGACTTATAAAGTTAAGTACTATTAAGTGGTTGTTGTTGTTATTTATTGATCTTTTTTCAGACCGCGACCAGCTTCAAGACATTCATAGACCACTGGAATATTCGAACAGGAATTTGGCTTAAAACGTAAGTGCTGCAAATGTCAACTTCAATACTCACGCATGCAGTCAGAAAACATTTACCCAGCTTTCCATTTCACGAACTCTTCTGGATATGTTTGATTCCTCTCATCTCCTTAGGGTGTGTTATGACCGAGCCCCTAAGCACAGGTTGGCGTTGACCTTTATCCTGTCTGCCCTGTGGCACGGTGTTTATCCGGGGTACTATTTCACCTTCATCACCGCCATCCCCATCACTATGGCAGCACGAGCTGTGAGTACTCCACCTCCGCTGGAAATTCAAATGAGTACTGCAGTGTGTACAACTGAAAGAAAATGTAATTTTGATAGCTTTATTAAATTTCATAAAAACCATCGGCTGACCGTTCAATCGGATATTGTGACATCCTAAGACGGTGGAGCAATACGTAAGAGAGAAGATCGTAAAGCTTTGGGTAGTAATACATTCTTGTCATGTAACTTAATTGGGTTAATTGACTTACATTAAAATACACCGATCCTATCACTGGTGTGAAAATAGCTATATACCCCTCTCTGTTCATCTGTCTCTCTCCACCAGGTACGGAAGTCTGTTCGCCATTACTTTCTGGGCTTCGGGGGCTTGAAGCTGAGCTACGACATCTTCACTTGGGCAGCCACTCAGCTGGCCATCTGCTACACTGTTATGCCTTTCCTTCTTCTTGCAGTAGAGCCCACTTTGGTTTATTACAGGTATGTTGTACTTTCTAATACTACTTCTCTTCTTAAGCTCAATTCATGCTTTTCACATTTGTATAACTGCGTGGGTTACACAACAGCATTTTTATTGAAGTTTGAACACACCTTCAGGTGAGCAGATTGAAACAGTGAGATGTGGTTATGAGAAATGCACCTGTACTTGTTTTACTACTTGTATTCTGTCCTTGTCCAACAGCTTTAAACATGTGAGCGTACAGGTGTATTGCCACAAATTTGTCTGTAGAGTTTTACCACCAAAGGATCCACCAAACTACGAAATTGTCATGCTTACAATTTCTTCCACACAGAGTTCAAGTCTAAATGATTAAAGAGGAAGGGTATGTTAATTAGGGCTGCAACTAAAATAATTTCTTTGTCAAATTGTCAATTTTTTTGTCGATAGATAAATCTGAATGTCAGAAAATTGGGAAGAATTACCATCAAAACTCACCAAAAACACAACTCCTTTGTTTTTTTTTATATATAAAAAAAAGAAAAGTTCTTATTTTAGTTTCGAACATGATTTTTTTGTAGCCTGCTTTATTTTGTCATGTCACTTTTTCCACCTGATTAACATTTCCCCTGACAGTACATTAATGACAAAACATATTCTCGTTTTTTTTCTTTTTTAGGTCTATGTACTTCCACGTTCACATCATCAGCATTCTGGCTGCGATCGCCCTGCATTGGAAACACAAACCCAGTGAACCCTCTGCCGCCACCAAAACGTTTTCCTCCTCCTCCTCCTCCTCCTCGCCTCCCTGCTCAGCACAGTGCCAGCCTGTTCACTCCAACAACAATGACAAAGTAGATTGAGTAAAATCCCCTCTTCACGCTCTTTTACCAGGCTCTCAGTCGAGAGGGTTCTCTCAAAGACAAGTGAATATCCCTGAAGGGCATTCAGCCAATTAAAAACGGGAACACGTTATTTATTTTTTGGGACAGTACAGATACATATCCTATGGCACTGGACGTACATGGGGAGAGCTTTTCTGCCATAGTGTGAAGTTTAACAAGATCAGAACCTGATTCTAATTCTAAGACTACACAAGCACAAACATGAGCACAGCATGCAAACTGGCAAGACAAACATTATCTGAGGGAACATCTGCGGTACCACCGCCAGGACGCTGGCCTCCACCTGCCCCCACTCGTCCACTTTCTCTCCCTCCAGGCCCCATCACAGCACCAGCCTGCCTGCTCCAACAACAATGCAACAGTGTGAAGAGAGAAAGGAGGCTCACTTTATGTCTCGTCCTCTATCTGCGCCGTCCTGCCGATTGGTGGGCTCTGAGCCAGCACAGTGGGAGAGCAGCTCATAAACAGGGCACGAATACCAGGACACACACACAGACAGACACTGGGACACAAATATGCTCATACTCTCTCTTAGACACGCTCGCACTTGGTCACACTCTACATACAAAGGCTGCTCTTGTGTGGCCACAACAACAGCATACCAAGAGGAGAGAGAGCCCTGGTTCGTATGTATGTGTGTGTGTGTTACTTTGTGTGTCGGCCCACTAACCTCTGTCACTGACCCCGTGTGAGTGTATGTGTGTGAGTGTATGTGTGTGTGTGTGGACCCTGTCATGAAAAACTGTGGACTGAGTGGAATGGCACTTGAAATACCAATTAGACCATGCGGCTCCCAAACTGTCCATTGAAAGAGCTGCTAATGAAGTGTTTTAAGGCAGGCTGTCAGCTCCTCCAGGTGAGGAGACCAGACCATTCTGTAGAACAAGTCAACACGTTAGAGTTTCTATGGATAATCCCGGGCTTTTAGGGATACTATTTTTAATATAAAAGGAAAGGCTTAACCATTGAAAGCAAAAGCCTGGGATTTAATGAGCGTCCTCAGTCCACTTTCCCTCAGAGAGCTCTTTTGTGCTGAAGCAGTAGGGAATTTAACAGTGACATAGTTTTTAATGTGTTAGTACTTTACCACGTGAACGGTGCTGGTTACCTGGTATCATGATGTAGAGTATCTGAACAAAAAGCTGTGGTGAAACTGAGAGGAAACACATTTTTTGGGGAGTCAAAAATCGCACACTCAAAGAATGGAAAATGTGACGAAAAATAGAAATTTAAAAATCAAATGTATTTCTTCTCAGTAGGAGCACGGTGCTGTGACCGTTCTGTGGTTCTTTGTGAGAAAGACCACATTTGAAGACTCTCGATTTACCAGAGCCTATCAGCAGCTGCAAGTTGATTTAACAGAGACATCTGCTGGTGGTTTGCTCTGTCTGAACTCTGCTGAATTAAGCAATGAAGGTAAGCCAATTTGGACTGACTGCCATGCTGCAGCATCTCCCAATGCAACTTCATAAAACTCTGAAAGCACTTTTCCCCCTCTGATATTACAATTTCTCAACACAATTCACAATTTCTTCCCTTCACTATCGTTTACTTTAGCAAAATCACAGTTGATGAGTCATGAAGGTGATGCTTATGATTAGAGATAAGCTCAACATGGTGGAAAAAAAAGGTACATTCACTTTTTAAAATTCTGTTATTTTCTGTTATCAAGAAGTTATGAGAGATTTAGGAGCATTGGGAACTTTAAAAGTGTCACAGTGGCTTGTTATTAATGTTGCTACCTGCTGTAAGCTAGCATGTCAGCTTTTAGCTACATTTATTGGTTGGTTATAATAAGTTGTGCTAACGATGCTAACAATGTGCAATGCAAGAATATTATTTTGGAAGACAAAAAATGACATTTCCCTTGAAATGTCAGGCTGTCCGTTTCATTGCATTATAAGATTAGCCTAAAGAAAATGCAATTCATTTCTTTGAGTACAGCATGTTAACAGCACGGTGAATCATGTTGGACACACAATCTTTATTAGCGGCTTTGAAATTTAGTCTTAACCTTTCGACCACAGGAAAAATGGATTGGATTTGCCTGTTTTTGCTCAATTTACATATTGACTCAACCCTCTGATTTCTATTCTTAGCTTTGCTCTGACAAGAAGGACCCAGTTCACACACAAGTGTTGACATGAGGGGAGGGGTAGCATGCACTGAATTAACATTATTATTAAATAAATACCAGATTGTTCAAGATTTTAAAGGAAACAAGAACTTCCAAATTCAACTATTGTTAATTGGCTAATTAGAACAAATCTCTTTCCAATCAAACCATTGATATCTTTGTCATTTTGTCATAAAGATGGCAATATTTCTTTTGTTGTTGATTATTTTAATGTTTTAATGCACATTAGTACCTCTCGGGGTTAATTAAGTGTCAGTAATGACTGCTATGGGGACCGTTATACTGTACAAGAAGCCTACAGTTATAATCATTTAGATCTGGAAAAACAGCAACTAAATGCTGACGGTCATAAAGTTTGTCCCCACGACGGCCACTGTCAAAGGCTGACTGCACCTAAACGCCTCAACAGGTGTGTGTGCCGAGTGGTCTAAAAACTCTTCTCAAGTATGGCTTTGCTATAACATACAATCGTTTTTTGTGAAAATAAAAGCCGATTTTAACTAATATGCAACTAGCTGTAACCTTTAAGTGTTTTTTTTGTTATCATTAAAATGTTCACTTCACTGTATAGTTTACATGTTTGTCATGTTTTTAGTGCAGGGAAATGAGCGACGAGTGGCACATACGTGTGGCTGTGTTGTCAAAATGAGCAGCTATTTCAATGACTTAATACCGATTATAAAGATATTTTTTGTAAGTTTGTTTTGCAGATGTATTCATGATGAAATATACCGACTGTGAGAGTGTGTGTTGCTCCATTTTGGTATTATTTGTATGGAGGAAAGAGTGCATGGTATAAAATGATTTGAGTAACAAATAAAGCTTCAGTGAAACACATTTTTACTTGTCAAAGTTTGAATTGAATAAGTTGGTATACAATAATGACAATGGGGAAGTCTAAACCATTATGAAGACAAACGTGTCATTTTGGGGACAAGTAAAACCTTTATTTAATAACTCCAGTGAGTCCCATTTGTTTTCTATCTGTTTCTATCCAACTACTCTCCCTCTCAGCTACAGCCTCAAATCATATCACATATCAAACCTTCTCTATGCGACGGCTGTCCCATGCTGTTTAACACTCTTAAAGCGGCTGCCTCTCTGTCCCTTGTGTCACGTGTCTGTTCCCGTCTGACACAGGTGTGTGTGTGTGTGTGTGTGTCTGTGTGCATGCTGTGTTTTGATCCAAACTGAGCTCACAGACAGCTAATGACAACCAGGGGGAAGAAGGAAATGGGACTAAGATGACAAGCAACAACAAATATACTTAAATCACCGCAGTGTTAGTGTGTTTCACTTAAGATCTTCAGAGTGTTCATCAAAAACATTTGTTTTACTCATTATGAGATTGATTGTCCTGTCTATGCCCTCAGAATAGTTCCCACACACAGCTACTGCCTCTCTGGAGCAGGAAGATACAGTTTACCCTGCTCATTCTATTTCTATTAGATTCAAACTCTTTATCAAATAAACAGTATCACAATACCCGCTTGATGCGAGAATGAAAGACAATTTATTTGTCTGTTGTTTGCAACTAAAATGACTAACTTTGCTTATGTTTTTGCTGCATGTAATAAGCTGCCTACATCCAGTTTGCATTTGCTACTCATCAACTCTGAAACAAGGTGTTTCTATATAGCTGCAGTGAATTAGTTATCAAAATGCCTTATAGCCAGTCTGCGTTTCAAACATTACAATGCAAGTTGTTACCCACAGTAATTGTAATGAAAGACAAGAACCCACACACAATACTTTTCCAACACATTTCATATGAAGTAGCAGCAGATCATCTCGTATATCAATACATCTGCATCAGTATGTGAACCCTCGTTGTTTGCTCTCAGTACTTTTTCAACGTCTGGTCAAACAAGTTCACTGCTGTCTCTAATGATGTTTTTGGTCAAATCTTTGTAACACTTTCAGTAAAAGTAAAATGCAATGAGATTAAAATGCCTTAAACAGGAAGTCAGCACTGATCCAGTTATTGGGTTATGTATTAGTGTATCATAGGTGACTTCTACAAACACAGGTTACTTAAAACGTTTAAACTAGGACCTGTAGAAAATAATAAATGACTGGATGATTAGGATTATGATACAGGTAGCTACAAAAAAAACCTTGAGCCAGCATTGTATTTTCTTCCAGTGAACTAATGTCAGCAGCCAATGCTAATATTTTATTTTTTGGCAAAAAAAAAAAAAAAAAGCTAATTTAGAAAGACAAACCTCCATGAACTTTGTGTGAAATAAATTAAAACCTAATTTGTGATTCTGGCAGCTCACCCACAGTGCATCCCCACAGGTCCTTTCACGTTATCTGCCTGATTAGACTTCCTCCCAATGTGTGTGCATGTGTGTGTGTGTGTACATACTGTGCTTGATTGACTCTCCTGATGCACCTGTTCAGGTGAGATAACTTCAAACTTCAACCTGTGCAAACAATATTAGACATTTTGCAATCACCAGAAGCAAGCAAATATCAAATCAGTTTGGTTCAAAACCAATGTATCCAATGTGAGAAAATGTAAGTTTCAACTTATGTTCGATTACTGCTAAAGCTTTGCCACTTTCAAGCTATAAAACCAGTCAAACGCCCAGTAGGTAAACTCAAGTGAAAAACAAGACCTTATTTCTTAGTTCCTGCAAAGTTTAAGCTTGAGAGGTGTTGATGCTATATAAATTGCATTGCTATATAAATGCAGAAAAGGTCATTTTGGCCACTGCAGATGCAGCTCACACCACACGAGAGGAAAGGTGGAGATCACCATAGTCGGTGGGCTTCATCCTCTGGAGACCATGAATGACGGCGCAGAATTGCGAGGCAATCTATCTTATAATTGGCCAGGACCCCTTTGTTAAAGAGATTCAAATTCTCAATGGGACTATACCGGCTGAATACAAGTTAAATAGATAAAGTATAAAATAGTTATTGAGATATTTAAGTCTGGACCAAAGTGGATCGACTGATCATACAAGCATGTATACCAGTCACACACTGTCAACTAAGATGAAGAATATTGTATCCAAATACTACAGCATGTTAGAGCATAAACTGTAGGGCAGTATAACATCTCCATGACGTAGACTGAAACGCCTCCAGCTAATGACTCCTGCTTGCCAAATCTCCAATTAGTGAAGCTTCCAAATCTTCTGAAACCAAAGCTCCAGGCAAACACGGAAAGCAGACATGATTTCAAAAGAACTTCAAATTTTGTCACTTGCATTTGTGTCAACAAAATGAATATAGGCAGCCAGCTTACAATGGACAAAAATATCAGCGGACAAATAAGGTCCTTAACTCAAGACCTACGATATTGGCTACTGTATTTCACCAAGGAGGCAACCCATGAAGAATCATTGAATGTGCTTCTTCAGTCTTCTGTGATTTAACATCCCCGATTTTTTTCAAACAATAAAATTACATCAGTTCAAGATAATGTATCGGCTGAGCTTTCATAAACTGTAAATCGTTTTCCTCCCAGTAACACAAATAAGTTCAGTGATGCAGTGCAAAGTCGCCCCCAAATTACAGTGTTTTGACACTTAGATTATATTTTCTTACCATGACTGAAATTGCCCAAAAGACGGACTTAAAGCACCGAGACGGGCAATTTAATGATCCAATACTCCTCTGCACGGATACACAAAAACAAACCTGGTTTTAACCGTCCTATTTTCAACTATAGCTTTGTTACTGTTTAGAGAGCCATAAAATACATATTTTTTATCACATCAGTCAATACATTTTTAATTTGCAAGTTAATCAAGTTACTTGTTCTTTTTTTAATCACCTCTCGTGATTTGGATCCAATGCATCACTTTTAGAACATACTACGTTTTGTTATGATTCTTACACAGTAAACATGTACAATAGGGTTTGTTTTATTAGCAGTGCATGCAAGGTGGAAATCAAGCAATCAGATCAAAAATCCTAACATGAATACGTTCAATTATTTTCTCTGCTGTTATTACTGTTAGAACAATCTTATACAGGGTAAGTCTTCAGAGCATGTTTAGCATAGGTTTAGACATGGGCCGTAACAGAGCGATCAGTTCCTTCCTGTTGAAAACATACTAAGAAAAGGTGTTTTTGTGCTCACAAATATGTCCTATTATTTACTGTCCTTTGAGATAAAGAGAATATACAGTCAAAACACACATTAGTACAACTCTGTATATCATAACAAAAATAAATACATTTTCTGTGAGGAAATTCCATTCAGTGGCACGTGCGCTGCTTCCTTTCTTTTCAACTTCTAAACAGATTCAACACCATCAACAACAGTCCTCAGTCCTGCTGATAAGAGTAGCAACCTGTGCCGCGCAGGTGACAAAGAAAACTCTTCAAAAGATAAATTAGGAAATCAGTGAGAGCTGAATGAGGACTTGGATGGACTAGATGGATGGATAGACTTGGCCTTCATGTTTCATGACTGACTGATGCTGCAGATTACTTTGTAAAAAACAACAACAATAATCATAGTGACATAGAGGGGCTTGAATACTAAACAGGAAAAGCAGATAACTGATGACTTGCGCTGGAAGAAACTTGCAATTTCCTCTGAATTTCAGCCAGCAGAGGGCAGTAGAGCAAAGACAATATAGCATACAAATGGAGAAAAATGTAGTGTCAGTGTTAAAAAAATGTAACATCTTTTTTTACAGAATAAAAACAATAGGTAACAAAAGGTAATACTCATCTCATGTACTGTGAAGACACATTTAAACTATCCACAGGGCTGTAGTTGTAAGGAAGGCCCCATAAGAGAAAGTAGACCAGAGGCCTGCTGCTATCTCATCCTGCACAGGAGAGGTGTGCTGTCGTTCAGCTGCAGGTTGGCGAGGAGATAAATATCGTATTGGAGCCAGAACATCGGTGCAAATGGGACAGAGGTCTCAAGTGGTTCAGTGTTGCTATTGCTTATCTACGTGCCACAGCGTCTCCCTTCTCTTCCTCCCTTTGCCTCTCTGTAATTCTCTCCTTCCTGCTCAACTCTCCAGAAAAAGTAACAGACTGCTCTTCAAAAGGTCAGATTTTTTTGAACTGTGCCTACCTGGTTACATTCAGCACACATGGGAGACATTAGGGGCATGTTACCGCTTTGGGTGATCATCATGCAGCATATAATTCTAAGTGAAACCACCAAGAAAGAAAAACATAAAAATCTAAAGTATTAAAGAAGCAGTGAGCAGGTGTCACCTATTTAACAGCCTGCATTCTCACCAACATCAGCTGACTGGTTGTCATGGGGAGTGAATGAGACAGGCAGGACTTATTAAGACTTTGACATCATCAAAAGGCAGACATGCTTGTAAAACTGAAGGGTAATGTACTTTGTACTGTAATGTACTGTAGGTATGTGGAAGGGTGCATCTTAATATGCAAAAGTGACCATCTTTCCTTGGCTCACCACCCTCAAAAACTGACTAGGAATTAGTTTAACACTGGATTGCCTCTTTGTTCAGTCGAACAGACGTTTATATAGTCAACAAACCCGAAGCAGAGGAGAGAAAGAGGCCACGGCAGTGTGTTTTAGATAAATGAGTTTCAGCTCGTGTTGGTCAGACAAGACAAAGTGAGGTTACGGTGCAATAGCTGGAGTAGCAGCAGTCCAATGAATCAACCACTTCGTGTCTCTTCAAGAGACGGTCAGGTCCCCGTGCTTTGATTGTTTGACTGGGCCAACCGACGATGATTAGATTGTAACGGGTTCAATTACATTTCCATACACTCCAGTCCACCAGACAAGCGCAATCAGTCCCAGTTTAAAGTATTCTAATGGGCTCCAAATAGATTTTGTCTCAGACGAAATGAAAGTTTCAGTTTTTGCTGCTCTCTGTTGGAGCAGGTTGTGTTTTCTCCTTTGCCTCCATCTGGCCTTTCTTCTTTTTCTTTTCTTCATCGTCCTTGAAGAAAAAAAGAGGAAACATGCCGAGGATGCAGCCGATGCCAACGCCAATGGCTTTGCCCTGCACAGAGGTAAATGGAAGTAAGGAAATATTACTGATAAGATATTTTTAAATAATCCACACACATTTTGACATTTAAGTATCAAGACAAGTTTGGTCTAAATGTATCAGTAAACAGGGATTCATCATTTTATTGCACATTTTATTCATGCAGAACCTGGACTGTAAAGATTGAGCAAGAAAACACAACAGGCATTGCCCAACATGCGAGGACAATTGCCATGACCTTTCATTCACTCTCAGCAAAGAGCCTTTCAGTGCTAGACTAATCACTCAACCTAATTACAGATAATTACATTTCACACTTTAGCGGTCACGGCATATTAACAATCATTCAGGTTTAACGCACAATGACGGAGCGATCGAAGGGGCACGTCACAGAGACTTGTGTTCCTGTTGTCGCTGCACAAACCCCCTTGACCTGGTTTGATGTTTAACATCCACAACAAACTGAATCTCTCAAATGCGGATTGGGGACAGCTTCATTAATATTCACTCTGACTGAGGACTGTTTCTGTTGAGTGTTTATTAGTCTGATAGGCTCTTGTCTGTCTGTCCTTCACTCACTCACTCTCTCACACACACACACACACACACACACACACACACACAAAAAGGTGATGATACTGACTGCATGAGAGCTGACTCTGGTCTGCCACATGTCAGCCTGTTTTGGGCTCAAGTCGGGAATCGGCATCCCCAGCCGATAGGCCAAGGCCTCCACATAACCTGCCAGCCTAAAGAGAGGAAGAGACAGACAGAAGAGAGAGGACTCAAACTTAGTTACAACATGAATTACTTCTGGACATTTCCCAAGATGGAAAGCCTGTTCAAGCAGCGCAGAGAGTCGTGGTAGACGCAAAGGTCAGCAATAGAGTCACGTGAATCCGTTATCGACAGAGAAGCCTCAAAATGGGAGTCAGTGTCTTCAGGCATGTGCACAATGCAAAATATAAACACTGTATACATACAGTAGTTGAGTCCTTGGCTCTAAGCTTCGCATTTTATTCAAACGTGAATATAAAGAGATTCAAAAGTTGTCAACATCCTGTAAACATGACAGCAATGACTTATGGGAATAAATTGCATCACTAAAACAATGTGGTAGACACATTCGCAGGCATATTAAAATTGTGTTCAGGGTGTAAATCGCACATAAATTAAATTGAAAACCACTCATTTGTGTTTGTTTTGTCTCCTTTAGATGTTCTTCTACATCACGTCATGATCCATTAAACCACACGGCAAAATAAACGACCAAAGTAATCGATATTTACGGGGGAAAAAAAACAAGTAAATCAGCAGATGAATGTTCCAGTCTGCGCCTTGTGGATGCCATCTATCATAAAACCAGAGAGAGAGCGAGAGAGAGAGAATAAATGAAATAAGTGCTTTACACAGATGACGGAGCAAAGACAGACTGCAGCAGATAAAGAATAGTGTTCACCAAGCAATAAAGAAACTCATTAATCATGCAAAACTTGTTTATTTCAATTGTAAAGTTGTCAGTTTTGTCTGATGTGGATCCCTGACACTGTGTTTACATGTACAGATGGTGAGTTTAGTGCGTCTGAAAAATAGTCACAGAGCCACAATTTAGTGTATGTCCCTGATACAGCTTTCTCACAAACAACATTGAGCCTTTGGGACCTCTGAGGGTCTGGGGCCCGGTTCACTTGTCCATCTAACACAGCAACAGTGTGACGAACGTACCAATAACTCAAACTAAAAGTGTATGGAGAACTGTTGTACCTTACTGTCATGTCTCCAGTGTGAGCAAAAAAACAAAGTTCCAGTTCCAGGGTGAGAAAAGAAATTCAAGTGAATATTTTGACCCAGGTCTGGTTCAGTCACTGGCACGAATGGATCCTCAGATCACTGCACACACAAATAAGCTGCAGCTGCCGAGTCAAGGGAGTGACATGCAGCAAGTAGCATATTTGAGAGAGAGATAAGGAGACGAGGAGAGGAGGCCAGAGCGTGTGTGTTGAGGTGCATGCGTGTGTCTGATGGCAATAGACTTTCATCACAGTAAAACAGAAATGGTAAAAGTTATTTAGGAGAGATTTTTATCATTACAGGTAAATCCAAACTAATCATGCGGACAATAATTACACAGCAGACAATCATTATATATAGACAATCATATCATATAATTATTGTATATTGTTCTTCTCATTATCAATCCAAACACTGACTCTCATATTCATACAAAGAAATGTAATATATCATACCTTGATGGAACAATAATACAGACGTCTGCCTTTGAGTCAAACCCAGTCCAAATATTTCACAGATTTGCAACAGAAGACGGCAAAAGAATTACGGGCAGCATCAGAGAATAAAATACCTGCAGTTTTCAAACCACTAAAATGATTACATTTACTTTTATCTCGGGCTTTGGATCATTTGTGAGCCCCAGACTCACAGCGTGAGAAGCAGACAGAAGGCTAAAGCTCAGCCTGGCTGCACCAGAAGCAATAACAAAACCTTCCTGGAACAACAAAGAGAATCTATTAACATCATCAGGTGGGCAATATCTGTGTTGGATTTAAATAGGTGCTGCTCTCATAGTCATGGAGCTATCTCTGAAACAGTTTGATGCAGAGAGCAGTGGTGCCATTGGCAGGCATGTGAATCAAAATGAGTGAGAAAGAAATATCAGGAACAAAAATGTTACAATCATAAATGAGCTACAATTGATGGTTACTGGAGTGTCATTACAGGAGTCCTCCTTCGCCAGGATAAACTAGGATAATGTCACGATTTAAAGAAGCATCGGCCCTACTGACGTATCCTTGAGAATTACTGAGTCCCTTCTTGTGTGGAACAGATACTGGGCTTTAAACCTCCTCAGAGGAAGGCAAGCAAACCAGGCTTTCTCTAAGCGGATGGATGAAGTAGCACCCTCTGTTAGTCCTCCTGATACCCATATAAAGACAAATAAATGGATACATTGAACTATTAATCATCCATTCATTAATTGCCTTTATCTGCTTGTTATAACACAAGGTCATGGAGTATGCTCCAACTCAACAAGCAATAGTTGTAAAACAGAAATACAGATATGACATCACAGGGTTAAGTCAAGTAAGACCATTCAAATTTGGGACCCCATTTTGTATTCCCTAGAGCCCACTAATATGTTTCTTGTAAGTGTTTTTGTCCTGTTTTCTAACTTGGCTGAATGTATTAATGCTTTACTGTCTGCCTCGTCTGTCCCACTAAGGCATTAAGTCCATAAGGAACACCAACAGCAGCTGAGACTAAGCTGTGCAGGAGGAGCATCATCTGCAGGCTGAACGGTCAGAATGACTCACGAGCTAAATTATGGACTTCAACGAGGTTGAGCTGGTACTTCTGTCAAAACACACACACACACACACACACACACACACACACACACACACACACACGGAGGAAAAGGAAAATCTTACAAATCCACCCAAGCATGAACCGCTACACACAAACGCATATGTGGATATAGTTGCACAGATTGCTCACCACAGGCACCAACTCACACACGAGCCATTTTATACAAGAGCATAAGTCAGTCAGTCGCTGTCTCTTGGTCGAGGAAGACAGACGTTGAGTGGGTGGTTTACAAACAATCGCTGCAATGCAATCACCGCATTATCGACCCAAGAGACTCCAGAGGAACATGCTGTATTGAGAGCTACATTTATTTGTGCTGTTTGACTACCTGACTGAGAAAATCACTCGGATAAACTGGTTCCTTTGACTTTCACTGGGAGTCCCTGAGGATCAGCTGGATAATTTGCACATGAACCTGTTTTACATCCTCTCCTAATCGCTGCGCTCACCGTTTCCTGTCTCTAAATAATTTCTTCTTCTTCTTCTTGCGACCAAATGTGAACTAAAGGAAGCTGAGGTTAACACTAAGCATGTTAGCAGCATTTTAATTAATCTCCAGAGATTTTAATTTAGCTTGTTTAGACGGGCGAGGACACTTTTAACTAAACATCATTACAGCCGGACTGCTTGAAAAGAGGGATGTTGATTCTCTTCCAAATTAATTGAAGTGTGTTTTGTTAGAAGTGAGAGTGTAAACCAAGCCAACTGCAGGAAACAAAAAATGCAAATTTATGGGTACATGGACAGACTGATAATTCAGTTTTTTTTATTTTTTTTATTTTACATTTGCTGTTAGCGATGACACTGAAAGGTTGAGAACAGTGAAGAGTACATGCTAGAGCTGCAACGACTAGTAAATTAAAGGATATGTCAATCAACAGGAAACATTCAAACAAGCCATCTAAAAATGTATAATTTGTTTTTCAAGCAAAAAGGCCACGAATTAACTGGTTTCAACGTATACAAATGTTAAATTAGCTGGTCTTCCTCTTGAATATCTTTGGGTTTCGGACTGTTGTTCAGACAATGTTGATTAGTTGCAGCAATAGCTCATTGCACAAGCCATTCACGCTCAGCAAAACGTGTCACTGTAACTGTATCTAAGCCGAGGGGGGTAGCAGTCAGGTCCAATGAGCTGTTCAATGTTGAAATGGTTCACTTTGCAAATGGCCAGTGTGGATCGAAACAAACCAAATGAAAATGCAACCAGTTTACAGTAAAGAGGCATCTTGAGTCTCATCTGTCGGCTTCTGACAAAAGTACCTACAATCCACTGCGCCTCCTATTTAGCTCTCGACCGCTACTGAAGTGCCACTGACTCCCACAGTAATCTGAATCACAGGGTTTATTGTGTGTTTACTTTTGAAATAAACATTAACGGTGATGCAAATGTTGCAGGGATGGTAGGACTCCTTCAGGAGCTCCACTGGCACTCAGTAGCAGACAAACAGCCTCCACACACACTGGTTTAAATCCATCAAAATAGAAAAGAAGTCTCTCTTGTCTGGTCCAATCGAGTCTCACCTTGACAAACTGGCCACAGGGGCTCTGCTTCCCCATTATGATTGAGTGGCTCACACAGAGACACAGCTGGTGGTGTGTGTCCACTGAGAGCGTTTGCAAAGTCCAGAACAACTTAGCTAATCTATGACACTAAAACGGTGCAAAGGCAACAGCACAGCCTGTCGAGTTGTCTTTCTATTAGTCCGTCTATTTATTACCGTCTGTTTTACTGAAATGTCTGTATTTTAATGAGAGCCTGATCCCTGATAATCACTGGAACACAACCAGTAGGTTGCTGGTGACACGTGGCTGGATGCCTCTTCTATTACTGTTGGCAGGTTAGGAAGCTGAGTCATCAATCAGCTGATTGAACCCAGTAATGCATCGCAATCGTTTGAATTGATCCAAAACTGACGGCTTCCACTTGTGATGGTTCATTATGCTTTTATTGAACAAATCTGATCACATGCTGCAGACGACCGTGACAGTAATTATTCTGATTCAGTTGTACTTCATTAATTCATTAACTATTTTTAGATTGTTTTGTTTTGTTTCTGTCAGTGGAAATGGAATAAAATGAAGAGAAGTGAGGCAGAAAACAGAGATCAAAACAATTTACTTTAATCCTGGTTAGTATTAATGAGGCACTTTGACAGAGTTAAAACAGAGTATAAGACTGATGATTAGAACCTGACTTATATTAATGCAATAAACTATACTAAATGCATTTAATAATTAAATGCATTTACAACGCACAAACCCAGAATGTCAATACATTACAGGTTGACAAAATGTGCCTGATCAGACCTTAAATAAATAATGTTGCATCACTCCTTGTACAACAACATCCAATGTAATCCCAGTACGATGAAATAAACGAGGAACATAGTTAAGGAATATATACATTTTTTATAGATGCAAATGACTTTGTTGAACAATTTCTTCTGATTGTTTTTATGTGCATCAAACTGAAGTGTTCTCAACATGGGTTGATAACTAGATCAACACCAATATTTAGTTCTACAGTACAGTCTACTGTAGTTTCTTTCTGTAGCTGTAAACTTACACAATTCACAGTTAAGTCGGGCTGCATACTCTCCTCATTTACACCTTTTTCAGTCCGATAGGTTTAAATTATTTGGCTTTTCTTCATTCATAGTAATAACTCCATTTTTTGCTTCGCATATAGTCTTCTGTCCTCACAGAGTCCTCAGCGGGACTCAAACCTCTGCTGACTGTGATTCCTTTCCTCCCTTGCTGCTCGTGCTTATCGTCCTCTGGGCTTATTCAGTAATTACCATTTAATGTTGAGCAATTTAATGAGTTAGCCTTCACCAAAGGGAGTGGAGTGAGATGATAAATCTTTACCTTAGCTTTTCTTCACATTTCATCATTTGAGTGAATGAGGGTAACGACTCTAAATCTTCCGTCAACTTGCCATGATTTGCAGAAACTTTAAGGGTAAAAGCTGCCTGTCTGTATGCTTGCGTGTGAGTGTGTGTGAGGGTGTGTATGTGTGTTTTTTGGAAGACAATGTGTGTGTGTGTGTGCTATTCTTACCCTAGTCCTGCCAGATCAGACACCAGGTTGCCGAGGGCAGCAGCTGTAGAAAAAGCGAGAAAAGAAAGAGACACGTTTACAAAATGAGTTAGGAAATTGAAGTTTGTATCTACGGCTCTAAAGAGGCACGACCCTGGAGTCATCTGGTAAATTCATTCCCTTCATTATCAATATAAATAAGGCGTGATGTTAGCAAAAAAGATTTGCTGAATAAGAATAGCATAGCAACATTACATGTGCATCGGAAATACTAATAGAGTAGGCATAATATTTAGCCCCATAATTACCAATAAAGCCTCTTATCTAAATATAAAAACACGGAGAGAATATGGGTCAGTAACCACACTGGTTATTTTTTACCATGTTGGGTTTTTGCACAGGACATGATGGACAGCCACAGTGCATTCAAAGCTCATTAAGGAGGCAGATGCATCGCTGAAGCCCACGTCGCTGAGCATAATAACTTCCCATGAATAATCAGAGCAGTGTCGGAGGAGAGGGGGATGAGGGAATGCTGAAATTACTAATGAGCAAATATGTGTCAATATCCATGAGTGGGGAGATGTTGCGTTAAAGAATCTGCTTGTTCTGTTGCATGTACGTTACTGTAGTCGTGGCTCCAAAAGGAAAATAAAGTCTGTGCTGGGCTCAGGAGGTGCTCTCTGTTGTCCGTGACCCTGAGTTCAGAGTATTGCTCTAGCTGTCGCAGCGACACGGACATCCTCAGGGGAATGGAAACGAAGCAGCAGTGCCATTCCTGCTAAGGAACAATCTCCACCCAACTCTGGCAGGAGGTCTTGGCTCTCTTCCTACACACAACCTGTAGTTGTACATCTGAATAAATTACCCACAGACCCTCAGAGAGGAGTTCAGATAAGACTTTAAAGAGCCACAGTTTAATTAGTGAAGCCATAGAGTGTTGTTTGCCGTGTGTCTCAGCAGGCTGAGGACCCTGGCCTTGTTGAAGGACTCGCCTGCCTGCTGGAACAAAGCATCAGCTACAAACAAGCTGCAGGTTTGTCTGTATTTGGCTCCAATCAACCTCTTTAGCCTGTTGCTCTTTGAGACGCTCTTTGGATGACTTTATCACTACTTCAGCGTTCAAGGAGAAGGGCAAGACAGGAGGGGGGAAAATGTGCAAGTCAGCGATATAAAAAAAAAACCTGAGCTGTGTTTTAGAAAGGTAATCTTTTTTTGTGCCAGACTGCATTTGTCAAGCTGTGTGTTTAGTTATTTTCATGTCTGACAAATGTTGCATCACTGTAACGGTATTTTTGCCAAACTATATAATTAACTGTCTGGCTGCAGCACACACTGTATATTCTCTCTATAATATGATGGCTGATACTTTAGAGTAATGACATCTTCTATTACATGGAGGTACTGTATGTCCTCAATGTGACACACACACACTTGAAATGTACTTTCATAAACTTTGTCGGCTGTCTGCCATTAGCTCGCTGTTCTCCCTGCTGCTCACTGTCTGCATTAGATCAAGTCCATCTCCACAGGGTGCTGAGAGGTGCAATCCAAAGATGTTGCCAACTATGTAACAGACACTTACTTACAACATTCGAAGCCTTGTACTTCGCCCATCACTTTCACTAATTAGAAAAAAGAAAGAGGGACTCGCAAGGGAGAGTAAACTAGGTTTGGGCATAAGTGAGAGAATACAACATACTTTATATTCCCTTCCCTGTTCTTCTGTTTCTTTGATCACATGCATACGTTTTGATGGATATCTCCATCTTTCACAGACACTTTCTAAAACTTCCTGGACCTGCAGCAAAATCAGAGATACTGTCAGCATGTGTACTATCCACCGACATCTATTTGTGGATCAATGCTCTGTGAAACAATGTGAAACCACAAATGGGAGACTGTGGTGATGTCTTGTTGTTGTCTCTTGCTTTTACCTGCTGGGCTCACTCACTCACCAGCTGTAGGTCATGATGATAGCTGAATATGAGCAACACCTATCTATAGCCGGAGGCTTTCTACAGCAACAATAACACACACCTACACGTACCTGTCCATACACAAGTGTCATCACCCAAAGGTCGGTGTGTATTTGATGTATGTGTGCCCACAAGTGTGTTTGTATGCAGTTGCAGCTATGGAGAGGCTTAAGGTAAGGCAGGTGAGTGTGGAAATCGGTCTTAACAAACAAGTAAACCAGAGATCTGGAGGCATTTATACAGTCTGTTATGTTAATGCAGGATGTTATTAAAAGCTGTATTAAAATCATAATGATGCAATATAAACATGTTAAACTAAAAATGTTCCAACTAGTTGCAATTTGTAATGAAGTGTTTTTTTTACATTTTTATCTCTGTTTCAAGTACGATAAACCAATTCAGCAGTAAACCACCATCGAGTGGTGCAGCGTCCACCTTCATTGAGCCAGCTGAGCCACATTTGCCTCCTATAGAACATGTGTGACTGGTGGACTTGACTGCAGGCTTGACACTAGCATTGCATCACTCTGAAATGGGCTAGATAACTGCAGCATCTTGATTTGCACACTCCCACATGTCCCAAATGTAGCAGGAACAAGAAACACTACCACTGCTGTGAAAAAGGAGTCTGAGTGATAGAAACTAGGCTGTGCTTGAGGAAGTACAGACTCTCTTTCTGTTTTTAGTCTTTATGTAGCTGCGCTCAAGCTGCTAGTTTCCTGCAAATCATTTATTTAATGGGGATTTTTGCAGCTAGAGCTCGCTGTCAGATCTCTTAGTAGAGATAACAGGCTCTAGCTGTCAAACTAGCTGAAAAATGAACTTCACATTTTCTGGCTGAGTTTGCAACCTGATAACACTGTCGCTAAATCCCACCAGGCCTGGAATTGCTCTCTTGGCTTAATCATAATCCCAATCATCCATTCATTGTAGAAGTTTCAAAAGAAAATGAACAAATACACATTTTTTAAACTGAATTTCTAATCTACAAGAGCAGGATCAAGTCAAAAACGTGTTTGATACAATAAGCACCTCAAGTAAAGATTCAAATACCTCCTCCCTACGGTGGAGGCATCGCTCCTTGCTTTAGTCTGCACTGGTCAAGTTTTCCACATCTCTCCAGTATAAAACAGGCTTCAGGCTTCTCCTCCTCTGCTCTGCGACAGCATCAGCTTTGACTTCTCTTTGTCTTTCAGACAGATCAGTTTACTGAGACAACTTGATCTTTAAAAGCTTGAGCCAAAAGCAACCAAAGCTCACTGTTGCCACAAAAGAAGCAGAAGGGGAAGGCAGAGTAGATGTGGGAATGCCAGCTGACCTTAAACTCAATATTGTTTTTGTACCCCATAGACAAAAACAAAGGAAGAAATAAACTGGGATTTGGCTAGGTTCATTAGCATGACTCCAATGCTGACTGAGTGATGGCGGTGGTTATGATTTGCCAGCAGTTTTACATAATGGTTGTTTCTTTCATCACCATTAAGTATGTAAAATGGTGAGAGTCCTTCTGCTTCAGTAGTATCTCCTCTTCTTAAAGCTCCGGTCTGCATTCACATGCAGTGATATGTGACATAACCTCAGAGTCTCTCCCAGATGCGCTGAATAGAAACAAGTGATAACATTAAAATGCGCCTCTTTGAGCTTAATGGATATTACACTCATTCAACCTGCTCGTGAACAGCATTATCATACATCTCTCTCTCTGATTCCTTTCTCTAATGTTATCCCACTTTCTTTTTTGGATTAGTGTCACAGCAGTGTTCAAATTGTGACTTCATCATTAAAGCTTCATTATCAGGCTGGCTATTCTGTCAACACTGAAATTGAAAATGCCTCCTTCCATCGTTGTTTTAAGGAGTTGGAGTCCGCTGTGATTTGGAACACCGTCACTCTAACGAGGAAGCAGACAGGGAGTGTGACTTGCAGTCTGGATGGCAAAATGTATATGTGAACCTAAACCAAGTCTACAGTAATCGTGCGTTTGTGTCAAATCTAGATTTGCTTCAAATTTTTTTTACCTAAATCTGGCTGTAATGTGAGCAATTCAATTAGAAATTTAACTGGACTGATTATGTCTGCAAATATACTAGAAAGCAAACCAGATGGATTATTAAAAGGCGTGTTTAGAGAACCGATCAAAGTTGGCTTTGCAGCAAGCAACATGTATGTTTCTCTTGTTGTCAGTGCAGGTTTAACTTTGTATAAAATACAACCATTCATGACTATAAATGACATTCAACGAGATAAAAATCAAGGATGTTTTCAAAAGCTAAGATAAGAACAGAATAGTGAAAATACAATGCTTCATTGCCCCTCCAGAACAAAAACCATGCAACAGAAAAAACATCTCTCTACCTCGCACTCGTGCTTTTGAAAGCCTTCTGGACTGTCTGAGCAGAGAACTTTATTGATTCAAACATATAAATATTTGTTATTAGATACTAAGTTACATTAGGAGCATGAGATTCTCTTACCAGCCATAGTTGAAATGCCGAGGATCACGCCGATGGATAACTCAATATGTGTGCCCTGCGAGAAACACACACACACACACACACACACACACACACACACACACACACACACACACACACACACACACACACACACACACGTTCATTTGTAAGACAGGAAAGCTTTCAATTTATTTCCGTCATTCTATAATACAAACCATCAGTGCAAGCTAATGTATGACATGAAATGCATTTGTTCACATGTTCTTTCTCAATTATATTCAGAGAGGAATACAGATGTTACTTATCTAATTGAGGCTAACTTCGTTATCATAAGAGGATAATTTATGGTCCATGACAACAGTACGCTTTTTTTTTTAAATATATCTCTAGTATTGACAACTTCCCTGGTTTAATGTCTAATAACATTGGCTATAGGTCTCTCTTCTCTTTACTTTTTAACTTCAAAGGTATTTTCCAAAATGGTTGCTTTAGCCTTTAGCTAAAAATAAGTACTTTTATTGGAAGCTTCCATCGGCCATTTTCTGGAAGCTTTTAGTCTTTCAGTTTATGGTTTCCTGGCTTTAGTGCAGAGCTCTTATGGAAATCAGCCAGAGGTCTTCAGGCAGGATGCATCACTTTATCTTGCAGACATTTACACTCACTTCCATTAAAAAGAAACATTTTATCAAATGCACATTTCACAGGCAAATCAAATCAAGCCCAAAAATGCGATTACTTATTGATTTGAATTTTCATACTTTTGCAGTCTACTTTATGAAGAGAAAAGGCAAAAAAATCGATATAGTGTTTATAATATACACATATTCTTACTTTACATTTCATTATACTCAATTTATTGTTTGTTTATTCTCTTTTGTTTATTTTATTATATTTTTTCACTGTCAATTTGTTGTTCCATCTCTTTGTAGAGGCCTCCAAGAACTCACTGTATCTGTGTTAAAAAAACCTGCAGTGAAGGCACTCTTTTGTTGTTGAAAAAACGTACTGCTCTTCATTCTCCGAGCAGATTGTTCCACTGGGTTTAGATTTAATTATTTGATCAACTTCACAAAGACTTAATGAAGAGTGGGTATAGCTTGTGGCAGGACAATTATAAAAAAATGTATCAGATGTTAAAAGACAAATGAGAAAAGTAAGGACTCTGAGAAACAGAGACGAGGAACAGACTGCCAAGCAATGACTGAGAGAAAACAGGAAATATACAGAGATGTAAATACAGCAGCAGCAAACAAAAAAAACATTTCTTCTTCTTCCTCTCGCCGATGTTTCCATCCAAAGAAAGCTTCCTACAGTAACTCATTCTTTGTGCACAGGTTCCCCCTGTGGAAATCAAACTCCCAACACTGAGTAAATCTTTACACCCACTGAGCTGCAGCGGAACACATGACGCCGACAGACTTACAGCGACAATCATGATGCAGTTGTCCAGGAATCCAAATCCAACGAATGGGATTGCATTGTGCAGCAGAACTGTAAAATAACACAGAAAACAGAAAGTATGCAGATTGTGTTTATGTCTTCTTTAACGAATAACATAATTGAGCCTTGGGGACAGAATTAACACAAAGAAGATACAATAACATTATATCACTGGACACAAAATGCTTCTGTGCTGAAAAGAAAATGAAAAATATACAGCGCCTGTTGGGAGATGCTCGTAATAAACTTGTATTCATTAATGTTTTTAATATGTTGCAATTACAGATTGAACTGTGGAAGAATATTACAAAAACAGCTGCAGTGTGCAGATTTAATCCATAATCATTATACGTGTGATAGAAAATTAATTATTAACCCCCGGATGTTATTTAGAGTGGGTAAGTCATCATATCTGGTTTCTGTTGCATGGTCATTAGTAGCATTGGCCACCACACAGACCAGCAACAAAACAATAAAGTCCTTTTTCTAAACTGGAATGGCTTTTATCTTTGAAATAAAAAAACCTTGACCTTTTGTGCAAATAGTCATAAATATCAAGCAGCTCCACTTCCAGACCAAACAGGCTATCAGAATGTACACATTCCTACATGCACAAATAGGTGTTTTGTGTGTGTAGATGAGATATAACGTCTAATATACAGCTGGTGGAGTGAAAGTGAATTTTAAATGTCACCCACCGCCCCAGGGAGGTTGAGCCTATTCTAGTGGAGTGTCTAGTCTGACTTGTTCAAGTCTAGTTCAAGTCAAGTGATTTGCAGAAAGGTGTTGGCTTCGAGCGTAATCGCTGCTGAATACCAGTCACTTCTTTTCTCAAGGTCTCGTTCTGCTGCAGCTCTCCTTCATTGCCCATGAAGCATTTTCAATCTTGCTGCTTAAGCTCACAAATCCCCTATCATATATTCATATCTTAAACACAGACTATCATAATGTAACACCAGGGGGCAACTTTCATTGAATTTCGAAGAGCACTGCATCTCTCGATGGCGAGACCTGACACTTCTCTGCAGAGAAGACAAAGTAGAACCTGAGAGTGAAGTCTTCTCTGTGCAGAGAAATTAGACCTTTTGCCTCTTGGCTCGCTCTAGTATCCTTTAGTATAAAGAATCATTGAATATACAATTTAGTGACAACAGGTCACGTGACTGCGTTTTAAAACATCCAGCGGAGATTTGGTAGCTGACCATGAACTGAACTTCAAACTAGCCACACAGCTTTGATGACGACAGCTATCACCAAGGTCTCAACATTCTAATTTTCCAATGAGAACCTCTTATCTCCCCCGGACTCCTCTGGCTATAGCAGTTCCAGTTACTGCACTTTTTGATGTACTTGGGAATAAATTATGTAAAGCTGTTTAGGGAAGATTTTTCAGTGTTAGTGCAGAACTTGTTACCACGTAAGATAACCTATAACAGAAGTTTTATGGGATTTTTCAAATTTATTTTAGTCAACTGAAGATCTTGACCCTGATGATTTTACCCTCCGGCCACACTTTGCTCATGTGGTCTAGATATCCTGCCTTGCCAGAGGTCCGCTCCCTGTGCTCTCCTGTTTAACAATTCGATCACATCACATCCAACCTGCTGCACCTAATCTTATTTAATGGCAAAGGAAAATTCAGAGCTCTAGAGATTAAAGTCTAAAAACTGCAGAGGCACTCCTCCAACTTCAGAATAAGTTTATACCAATATACGTTTTCAAAAGGTATGTGAATTAAAAACAACAGTCATCTTTTTTTTGATCCGGTGTGACAAATGAGACCAGAGTTGAGACAATTTCATCGGCAAACTTCAGCTCCAAATAGCATTCACACAACAGATTACAGCAGTTTACTTCATGGTTTTTAGGTCTGAGTGTTATGACTAAAGGTCGAATGGATCTGTCTTTAAAGTTATGAAAAGACACTTTTTCCAAAGAAGTCATCGACACTCGAAGCAGGAGAAAAGCAAAGCAACAATACACACAACACTAATTTGCTGTCTCGAGGAAAATCACCTGACAGCCGGCTTAGTTGATGTTTCTTTTTAAAGTTTCACTCGGCTGTGTTGTCTTTGTTGTAGAGCCAAAGCCAGAAAAACAGCATTTCAGCACCAGAGAAGCGCCGAGCTTTAGAGGGGAGATTTCTCACATGACGTCTCTGTTTTTTGCTAGCAGTGGAATATCTTTTTGTCAAACAAAAGGTTGATATGAACTACATTGGGTTTAACCAGCTTTTCCAACCTCTCAGCAGGAGGAGAGGAATCTGAGGTCATGTCAGTAACTGAGCAGCGCAGTGTGAAGTATGCCTGCATCAGCTTTTAGCTGAGTGTGTGGAGGTGGATTACATATGTGTGAGTGTCATGATAAATCATCTGCAACACATTCTATAAATGATTACCAACTTACACCAAATACAAAGAGCTTCACATTGCAAGTCAAATTCATTTTCGGTATCATGGCCGGAAGTAAATATCTAAATTGGTTATCTTCCTTTGTGCGTGTCTTTTTCCCCCTCTCTGCTATAACTTGTGTAGTTTTCTTTTTTCTGCATCTTTACATGTTTCTTTTTTTGAGTATTTATTGACCCAAGCAAGACTTTGAGTGGAAGCAAATGGGGATCTTATGAACCATAAACATGGCTCAATAAATATACTATATAAAGGTCCATTAGCTGTCCAGACAGTGCATATTACTGTGCAGCAGGTGGAGTCTGTTTACAGTCAGGAGTTCATATCTGGACTGTTCTTTAACAGTATGTGTGTGTTTGTGTTGTCCTCTGCTAACCGTGGCCCAGCATAATGGAGCAGCTAAATATTGTGTGCTTTGTGTCATAAAGTGACAGGGCCATCATTTTGCAGCTTGTCATCTTCTCTCATCGTCATTTGTCTCACTTAAACCATGTTCTGTTACTGATATTCCCAGGTACCAATTAGTTTGGGACATCAGGGGCCATAGCTAATCCCATATCTGTTCAACATATAACCCTAATAGCCAGAGCATTTCCTTTTCTTTGGGGAGACCGTGGAAACAAAGTACGAACCACAATAACCTGCTCATTAATAAAGACTGATCTTCATTAATCTTCCTGGTTAATTGACGGTTAAATGAGGGATGTCAATCCAGGCGGTAATGCTACAAGATTAATCATCATTTCTCACATTGGTGTACTCCTTCAATCAGCCCTCTACACGAACAAAAATGGTAAAATAAACATAAAGAGTCATTCGAAAACATCCACCAGGATGAGGAAAAAAACAAAACTGCTTACCATATCTTAACTCTGCTCTAGTAGGTGGTGCAACTTCCAGCTGCCCTGAAAAAGAAGAGAAGAAGAAGAAGAATGTATTATAAAGCATCTGCATCTCCTGTGGCCTGTTTTTCTATGGGGGGGCAGGATAAATGTCAGACAGTTCTTAAATGGCAAGGCCTATCAGTCAAGTCCTTTCAGACACAAGGGGAAAGAGTAGCAAGAGGGGAGAGAGAGACATTTTACATTTTAGCAATGTGTCAGAGGAGATGAAAGGGAGCGAGGGAGAGGAGCGAAGAGCATCTCCCTCGCTGCCAGACGCAAATGAGGGCAAAAGTGGCATCAGCAAGTGATAATTCTGCTGCCAATCAGGCCTCACAGGAGGCTTGCTGGCACATTGATTATAATTGGTGTGTGTGTGTGTGTGTGTGTGTGTGTGGTGACTGAACAGACACAAAGAGGTCAAAGGTGTGGGCGCTTTGCTTTCTGCCTTCATGTCAAGTGCTGACCTCATCCGACACAAGCTGGATGAAAGTAAAATGACTACTGAGATCCGACCACATTTGTTCTACATTTTGACACTAAAGTTAAAGGAAAAGTGCAAAGTTAAAGAGCTGTAACATCCATCTGTTGTCGAGAGGTCGTAGTGTCGTAAGTGTCACACCGGATGTGCCACATTAACACAACAGTCGATAATTACTTTGGTTATAAGGCTGAAGACAGGGAAGCTAATTTCCTTTGCAGGTTCTGTGAAATTGGATTTGTATTACTGAGGTCAGTGGAAATGTTAGTCCACATAATGAAGTCTGCTCCATCACTTGCAGGTTATTGCACCACTGCAAGTCAAACCAGCGTGGAGCAGATTTCGCCAAACACAATCTGTCTCCAACACCCAGAAACACAAGCGTGCACTGATACACATGCACACTTGCAATCCCCAGGACACTAATCCCACTGAGTTGCTGCAAGTGCAAATGCCAAATATGCTTTCCAAGTCCTGACTCTGGGACTAGGGACCAACTATTTACAATGCCATGTTTTGTGGGGCTTTCTTTCCATCTTAAGGAACTTTTATTTTGTGTTGAATGGTTGGTCCCTGAGCACCAGCGTCTCTTCAGAAAAACCTTTTATTATACTGCAGCAGGAGTCTGACGGTCTGCCCCACTCAGTCCTGGTTCTGGTTCTCCCATGCCTCTCTTCCCTCCAGCAGGTCCAGCAATATCGCCCGGATCTCCAGTTAAACGCTCCACACAGTGGCTTTAACTACATCTTTACATCACAATCACAGGTACATTTACGTTGAAAACTGGCAAAACTATCCACCTTATAATATTAAAACTTAGGCTGGAAAAAATAAATAAATGCAAAGGCCATAAAAACAACAATATCTGCCTCCATCCTATCTGCTGTCCCCACCCATTTCTAATGTCCTTCTCACTTCCTCCTTTCCTTTCAGGACTCAGTGTCGCATTACAAGCTTCACGCTACGGTCTTCAGTTTAACCCTCGTCTCATATTGCTCACAGACAACTGCTCGGCCTTTCCATCAGCAAGAGAGTAAAAGCACTGCTGACACCTTCACAGAGACGCACACAAACGTAAGCTCACCGTCAGTGCTTACACATACACAGCCTCTGCAGCAACGCGTGCATCTTATTTATTTCACAGGTTTTGGGAAAATCCTCTCAGGCACTAAACCATAAACTATCAAACTACAAGACAGGAACAAACTGCCATAGAGGGAGAGTTACCCACAGAAGATGGATGGCTTTGGCAATTAATTACCAGAATATATTTATTTCCATATTAATCATCCACGGGTTGTTCTAGGATTTAATTAAAGACTTTCAATGATCCTCCTGTGCTCATCTGTGAGCCGGCGCCGTCAGTGTACTGCTGCATTAACCACACAGCTGTTCTCACTGAAACTTGACGCTGAATTGTTCTCAGCTGTTTTATGATCTAACCGCCAGGCCAGTGATCATTCTGATACATGTTTCTAATCTGTCCCATCTTGACATGATAGAAAATAATGCGAAACATCATTGTGGCCCAAATCAGAAGCCTGTTCCTGCTACATGTTCAATCACTTAAAAAGAATGAGGCCAAACGAAAACGCAACCGAGTCACCGACTCATCACTGGTCACATGAAAATTCCCATTAACGAGATACAGAATCTCTTGAAGACGTTTCTCTCCCAGCTATATATTACAACTGCGATAGCTGACACGGCTGTCTATTCCCCAAAGAACTCCTCTGGTATCAAGTATTGATTGCATGGTCCCTTTAATACCCCCGAGGCTGCTTTCTCCAAAGAATTCGATTCCGGCAGAAACGAGTGGTGAAAGTATCTAACCACAAGCATGATTAAATACCAAAGCAGCCATGTTTCATTCTTCTCAAACCTTCTCTTCTCTTGTATCCTGCTACTGCAGAATCATTTGCGTTGACAGAATTGTGCTTCTTTTGAAGTGTTGCTGCGGGTTGAATTATATGCCCGCTGGTTTTGTATGCAAATTACATGAATATATAATATCTATGAATAAAAATTCAATATTTTAACTGAAATGATCTACAGTTCCTATTCAGACAGCCAGATGGCATTAACTCTAAAAGGCTCACACTGAGGTGCTCACATCCATCTCCAAACATTTACATCTTTGTGTGGTGGTTGGTTGGCTTTTACCGCAAGAATTCACTTTGCTGTTTTTCTTATTGCTTCCTCAGCTGCTTGCTGCTCAGAAATGTCTGTTTGAGGAATCAAACACTAGCACCCACGTCCTCTTTAGCTGTGATTGTTGTAAGGCGAGGCAAAAGTCACACGTTCCTGTCTTTGTTTTGCCGTGACAAATGGCTCATTCCACACTTTGTCTCTTGGTGCCGACACACCATGAAATTGAAGTGGGAACAGAGTTTCGGAAATTGGAGATAAGTCTGTAAAGGAACTGAGAAGCCAAGTTCTCTCTCAGCAAAACTGTTATATGATATATTGAGGCAATAAGATTTTCTGCAAATTCAGGTGTTGGTGTTACAGTGGTAGAAACTAGAACATTTTCAGGGGCATTTTTCATCACTGTGCAGCAGTACAATGCAGTTTGTGTGCGTGTGTGTGTGTGTTTTGTCTAGCAAATGTAAAATCACTTATTGATTTTTGAGTTGCACTCACACGGAGGAGTGATTCATATGATCAAGAGTGTGGTTTGATACAGCACCGACTGGTGTGTGAAGGGGCATGGTGTGTGAATATAATGCGTTTCAGTATGAATCTATATCATCCGATTATCTGCAGGTTGTGTGTGACCGAGCATGCATGCGTGCGTGTGTGTGTGTGTGTGTGTATGGGTTCAGCAGAACAGGAGCAATAGAAGGCTATAGCAATTCATCAACCGCATTGCACCTTGCTACAGGAAGGAGCAAATTTCACAGCACACAGGATATGGGTCAAGATGTCAGGGACAATTGTTTTTTTGGTGGCAGCACTTTTGGAAAAGTTTGAGGTTGAAATGAATTTGTGCTAGAATGGGTGATTAGATTTTCAAAATAACTAGCAGAAAAAAAATGTAAAAAATGTCAATTTAATAAGCAATCAATCACAAATTTCTGTGTCTAACTGGATTAGATTTTTCTAGTAGTGTAATGTAGTTTAGACAAAATGACTGAGTCCACCTCAAGCTTGTGTAAACGCTCATATTGAGGAAAGACTATTTATTTCTGTTTGTCTGCTGAGCTTTACCAACCCCTCACATACGACTGCTACTGGAGGACACATCACAATTTAAAATACTTTGTCTGCTGAGGGGAAAATAATAAGTATGCTCCAAGTAAATGCAAAATCAGTATATACTGTACATGTGAGAGAAAAATACAAAGCATTGGGGCATAACACCACACAAACTAGAGCCTGAAGTACTTTTTCCCCCCTGGGAGTTCAGTGAACTCTATATGGCAGGTAGACACACACACACACACACACACACACACACACACACAATTCCCCCAGTGCCAATTAAGGAAGCTGTGGAGGCCTGAAACAAAACACATAAAACCGACAACAAATCCTTGAAAATGTCCCCCTGACAAATGGCAAACCACAAGCGACAGCAGTAACAGAGGAAATTTGCCTCACGTCCTCTGCATCTTAAAGTGGGCACCCAGCCAGTAGCAGCAAAGGACAAAGCAAAGACGAGAAAAAGAGAAACATTTTTAATTGAGCAATGGGCTGCTTATACCTCACACCAAAGGCAGTTTACACCGACTTCCCCTGCGGTTTCTGGTAACCCACACAGATATATAGTTCCTGGGAGACCATGCATTTTACATCACAGGATGATGGTGATACAGATTCCACCTATACTGTATTACACTAAATGCTCACCACATTGTTGTTGCGAGTGGACCCAAATCGTGCAGCAGCCCTCTCGTTCACAGTAATGGTTCTCAATGCTGGCAACAAAAGTCAAGCTGGTTTTCTATCATTTAAGTTAATTGCAGTTAATTGCACACACCTGGCCTCATAGATGTGTAATAACCGTTGATCAGATTGCTACAATTAACACCCCTACTCACCAACGGTACAAACAGAAACGCATGCACAGGTGTTTTCACTTATTCCTGCTAATGAGAACCGCTGCGTAGGTGTTTACAGACATCTTCCCGACTCCCTTTTTTTGCTTCTGCTTAGTGTGGGACAACTTTACATTTGCATGATCCAGCATGCTGCATGTTACTGTTCATATCAGCAAGTGCAGGGAAAACTATATTGACTCACAAACCATTGAGAAAGCTGCTTATTGAGGGATAGTTTTACAAGACCAAGCTCGAGCATAACATTTGCAATTGTTATGCAGAATAAAGCAGTAATACTTCCATGTGGTGTCAGCCATGTCTATCTCCATTGTTTACCATACTGCTAGTAAGCTACATGTTGTATTGTGCTTGCCACACTGGAACAATACAATATTCTACAAATAAAGTAGAGCGTTACATTTTGGCAAAAAGCTGTTAGGAGAGTGAATATTGGACTCAGTAACTGCTGGATGTGTAAACACGCTGCCATTATAAATCCC